TTTTAATATTCGAATTTTAAGTCTGTTTGAGCTAAAATCCTTCAATTATATATTAGAAAAATACCATGATCTGCTTGAGTATATTAGTTAGTTTTTTGCTTCATGCGCCACGAAGAAGCTACACAGATTGAACCGGCTATCTAATCATGCCATCTAACCAATTTTTTTGATATTTTTTTCAGTAAAGTTGTGGTACAAGGCTTTACCCTAATAAACATTGTATGGAGGTAATTATCGACAATTTCATAGATGTTGCAAGATATTTTATGAACCATAAAATAACATAAAGATAAGCGCTAGCTTACTTCTTTTTTTCCATTATCTAAGAATATTCGTATGTCTAAGATTTCCTAGATTATCTAGCTACCCATCGTGAAAACGTATTGCGGCAGTCTTCACTAGATTTGTAAAATTTTTATTTGAGTGCAAAGAGCGCACAATTTCAATAGATCATTCCACTTCTACTTCGTTTTCAGCTCTTGTTCTCCCAGCCGTGCTCATTTTTTTAAGATTAACCTTTGATCTTTTGATCTTTCTTGTGATAAACTATTTCTAGCATATCTTGGATAGTTCACTTGTTTCGTCACTCAAATATTACTTAAATTTCATAATCGCTGACAGTAATTGACTTGACATTTTAGCAAGCAGTATTATTACACGTGTGAATGACCTTATATAGGGTTTGACTGAACGAGTATATCATGCTCTAACATCTACCAAAGTTGGAGCGTCTAATCAGTTTTTTTTTTCGTAAAAAGTGTCTTCACTCCTTGGCTGTCCCCATTTGTTTCCGTCAAACTAAGACTTTCGGTCAGAGCTTTCACCTCCATACCGGTTTAGTTCGTTATGTGTTGCATAAATTCTATTTATGCATGATTGCTTTTTGCCGTGTTTTGCATAACAATACCTAGTATGTTAATTAAGGATCAAGAACCGGCAATATTGTCTGCCCGCGACGCTGTCGGGCACTTCGGCGATAACGCCGAGGCTGTAAAATTGTACTTGATCACCTGTCTGTCTTTAGAGCACTTGTTCCGGTTTCATTAGAGTATTTGGAATATTGTCTTAGATCCATTAAATTTTGATTTTCCTTCTTCAAAACTAGTTTTTAGAGGTCTTTGAGTAGATTCTATGAAGTTTGAGTGCAAATTCATTTTATTAGTATAGAAGGATCTAGTTTGAAGTATTCACTCGTAGGTTTTGGAATAAATATTTGGCCTTATATGTACGCATATATTGAATACGATTTTATTATGCACGCAACGACCCGCGCTAGGATTTCTTTGAGAATCGCCTTGATTTCCTGCCCTGTTTGTGCAGTCGCATGTACTGTACCCATGAAAGTGACCCGCTTCGGTTTCAGATCTAGTTTCGCTCTGTCACAAGCACTGGTTCTTTTCATACGATTAAACCAATTTGGACGTTTTGTGCACTTTTTATAAATGAAAGTAGGTAATCTGCAGGATTTGTAGTCGTAATTGTGCATATTCCCTTCCTGAGTTTATTTTCAAAAATTCTGAAGTGATTCCGAATTTTGCTCTATTTCTTGTTATAACGGCCTTTATATCGCATAGACGGTTCTTTTTTTCTTTCTTTTTTCTGCTCAGTATTGTAGCTTTAAAAGTGGACAGCAAGGTAGCCTTATATGACTGCTACCAAATTTTTTCAATTTTGAACTCCTCGGAGTGCTTCCATCTTTGTTCTTCGTCTTAAGCTATTCTAACGCACAAAAGAAATTTTTTAAGAGGAATCTCAAGATGGATAATTTATAGGTTACTGTAAGGTTGATACGTATCCGTACTTAATGCGATTAATACACTAAATGAACCAATGTTCCATACAAATGCTGCGAAAAATCATAACCTGAAAAGGAGTTCCTGGAGCGACTTGCAGGAAATAGTTTCCCAAATGGGTGAGTCAGACGTAGTGAGTGGGTAGTTGGTAGAGTAAATATAGAGGTGGTGTCCAGGCAAACTCTTTTTTCCTCATGTGTTTTCTGTTTGGGAAGCCTTAACTAGTTGCTGGATACAGAAACGAATTTTGAAGCTAAACACCGCATTTGCGGACTACCGGTCCTCACTAGGTATGCAATAGCATGCGCGAAAGGACCAGTAAACAGCAGAGACGGTGTATACTGCGTATATTGGTGAAATCTGTTCCTTTACCCATCCTTCGAACGGTGAATCTCACTACGTTCTCTTTCGTAGCGGAGAAATCCTATCCCAAACTCCAGCCAACATACGCTTTCCCAGCGTTAACCAACACTTCGAGTACGGTAGAATACGGTATGGGTCGGAGTTTTGAAGTTGGATTCCTCTGCCGTGAATGAGTGTTTTTAGCTGCCGCTTGGGCACTGGCCTTGGGCAAGACTTTTCCGTTCGATTACAAGAAATCCTATACTGTTCTCGGTCACATTTTGCTAGACCTGGCTATGGTACAAAAGCAGAGTGGTATTTCATAGGTTCAGATTAGATTTTCTTGAGCTGTTTTAGCTTTCTTCTCTTCTAAATTTAGTATTCTTTTTGCAAACAATTTTTTGCCTTTGCAACCTGAACCTTTGTCAGCACTTTCGCCTATTGACCTTGCAACCCGTGTTTGAACGTAAATTGTCCCGCTTTACTGCGAACCATCGTTAGCGAACCGTAGCTCTGCTCTGATTAATACGCTCCCGTCACTGTGCTATCGCTAGCCGACAATAGCACTGTCCATTACGTTCCCTATTCATCCAGCCATCAGATTCAAAGGGCAATGGAGCGTTGCAGTTGCTCTTGAATTCTGCAAAAAAGCTTGCAGCTAGCAGACGCAAGATTCTTCTTGCGCCATGTCCAGGCCCATAAAAGTTTTACTACTAGTTTCTGCTATGTACTTTTTCTTCTGTTACTGCTTGTACTATACATTTAGTGCAAATGCGTGGATAAGCTGTGTGGGATTGAACACGTGCATGGGTTTTACACAATTCTGGTAATTCGCTTGGTTGTAAGATTTTTCTTTGAGCCGATTAGTCGTTCTTTGTGAATTAATACGAGTGTTCTTACGATCCTCTAGGTCAGCACACAAATCTTGTACCAAGGACTGAAAATTCTTGATTCTTCCCAGTTTCAACAAAATTTCTCCTTGTTACATTTATGAGAGAAAAATTCTTGTGCTTTTCGGAAGCGGGAAACGAATTTTTGAAAAAAAATTCTTAGGCATACAACAATACTGATTAAGAGAAAAATTTGGAAGTAATTACCAAAATTTCAGTAGTTATGTTTGGGACTTCTTCAATCTTAGCTTTCATTTGATTGTATGACCTGCTCTTTCTGTATACCTAAGTATGACTGCAGTTTTCGAACGTTTCATTCAGTTTTTTTCTTGATAATTAAAATCTCCAATATTATAAAGTACAACATTCATTAATTTCTATAAAAAATCAATATAATCTAGATAGTTTTTCTAAACACTTCCAAAACAAATTTCTCTCAATTTTTTGGTTCGACGCCGAAACATCCATCCTTCCCTGACCTTTCAATAAGTAAAAATTAACCAACGCCACAGAAAATGTATCATAATCATCAGTTATTTTTTCTCTAAATGATTACCAGCAACTTTTTGTTGTAAAATTCAATCAAAATTAGTACAATATATGGACAAGTTGAGAAACTTGGTGAACTTTAGTGGCATATAGTATTCGAGCTTCAATATGCAGTCAAAACAAAGTTTGCTTTTTACATTTCACCAATTCACAATTTCATAATGATGCTGAAAGATTTTTGTGGTGCCAAAATTATCCTCCATATCTGAATATAGAGAAACGAAATGCATTAGTATAGCGATTTGTTATCATCAAGGTTAAAAACTCGAAGTTTGATTCAGTTGAACGATCTCGAACTAGAATTAAACATTTCTCAACCTATCAACTTTCTATTCGCTAAGTTGTACCTGTTACCATGGACATGGAATTGATTTCCAGAAACATTTCTCTTGAGCCTGCTTTTCTATCCATTCACTAATAGTTTGCTTTGTTTTGTTTGTCCAGCAAGTACATATCACTTGTAGAACTGCTCTGTGGATTATTGGGAAAAACCGAACCAGTATCTCAGCGGAAATGTTTCTTTATCCAACAAAAATATCGTCTTTAACAGAAGACTGCAAAAGTTTCTACTTTGTTTCAAAGCTGATGATGTTTTTTGTCTCTAATCAAGCTGTATTTTGCATAAAGCGGCTCTCTGCGACCTGCAAATGTTGATGCAGTCTCCGCAAAGCACCTAACAGTGAATGTTATCGCAAGATAGATTTTTCTCAACTTTTTTTCCTCGTTGATCTACGGTGCAATCTCGAATTAAGTAGAGAATTAGTCTTCAGCAAAGTGCAGTCTAAATAAGAGCAAAAGGTATCTAAGCCATTTTGTTAGGGGAAGCAATTTAGTTGCGGAAGAACTTTTGTAAAGAAGTTATCAGGGTTTGCGGTTTGCAAGCTTAGATTTGTTGAGCTTTAAGTGGCATACGAAAAGATGTGCAAAAATACATATGCGGATTTCCATACGCTGTTCTTTCCCTATCATATACTCAATACAGATATGATTACCAGTTTTCAATTGTTTGCAGCTTTTCGCCAATTTTGTGCCGCTTATACCATGACAAATTTGAACTTTCAAGCTCCCATAACTCGGAGAGCCACTGCAAAAAAAGGAAAACATATTTAGACTCAGCGTTTATAGGGGCGTCTAGTAGTATAGTTTCATGTGGAAAGGCCACTTCCTAAAAAGGCTACTCTTGTAAGCATTTTTAAACCCCGCTGGGATAAGAAAAGTTAAGAGAAAGGAAAATACGAGGAGTTTCAAAATCTTCACAAAGACCCGTCCTTCAGCTTCATTTTCGAAATTTTTGCTTGTATCCTTCGCCTCTCGTTGTTCTAAGACATGACGGCGGCTCTTAGGAAGTGCTTAGGATGTGATGTTACGATGTTGATGTTCGCTGTTAACGGTGACAACGGCGCTTTTTGATTCGATCCAGTTTCAGAGAAGACAGCGAGTCGTCCACGAATGTCCTCGGACGCATTCGGCGGCGCGGCGCCGATCGACTGCGCCTCGATCGCCGAGAAACTCATGCAGGTCAGCTTTTCTACCTATTTTGTATTATTTTCTATTATTTTTACATATTATTTCAATTTATCAGGACTTTTTAACAATATTACTTGTTTCGTTATGCTACTTGAAAAATTTCACGGAAAGGATTTTTCCTTGCCAACTCGTGAAAACCTAACATATTTTTATGAAGAGCGATTTCCCCTTTTGTTAATGGTTTTTGATTCTAAGAATAGATTCGTGCAGCTTCTGTTGACCGAACCAAAAAAACGTCCGTGCCAAAATTATTGTCATCAAAGCTCACTGTCTGCTCTGTCAACATCTGTACTGCAGTATATTTGTAATGGTTCGAAAAAAAACCCGTAGGATTATGATTGAATATAAAACCGTATGCGTCTTGAGTAGCTTGCACGAAATCTCAAAAAAAACATCAAGAGACCGTGTGTCTGGTAAACTTTTTGTGATTGTTCAGTCTTATAAGATACAAAAATTTTCTGCTATTTCCGATAAACCTAATAGAAAAAAGAAAACTCTTAAGACTTGAAATGAGTTTATACTTATCTGGATTATTAGGCTTGTGTGCATCAAAAGTCTCACGCCATATGGGTCGGATTGAGGGACCTCCAGTGATCTGTTCACTAACATATACTCTCCTAAAATACTGGATAGAAAAAATCAGTAGTTTGAAACTTAAAGAAGAAGTTTTTTAAGAAGTTAATGACCTCTGATGATTTTTGCATGTGTTTTTTTGGTTTTCCATTTTGGTCCCTCTTGATCTTCAAATTTCCGATTTTCATAAGTGCTTATAGTGAGGTACTTCATTCGTCTTTTATTACATTTTCAGTTGCGGCATCTTCTAATCTATTATATACATATGTTGAAGTTTCACCGCAATCGGCTTATTATTTTTATATCAAAAGCCAATCCGCTCACTAATTTTATATCATAAGCAAGCTCTTATGAAAGAATTTCTGTGTACAATGTAACACGTGAGAGCATCCACCTCGTTATGTACACAGAAAGTAATCGGAACTTTTGCGGTTCAAGCTATAGGTCACGTTATCCAAGCATTGGGGATCGCTATGTGCAAAGCAAAAACTCTTTTAAGAGCGCGGTCAAGAGTTGTAAAGTGTTTACCTTCGGAAAAAACTAAGGAATTTCTTTGTAAAGGAATCTATGGTCAGACGAGAATCTGTGGTACATATTATTGACATCAAAGACGACATAGCACTAAGTAAGAAAAATTTCTGGCGCAATATGGGGATTTTCGTCTGGAGAATACCTTGCCCTTCTACTATTTCTGCTAGCAAAGTTCCTCATACTTAATCCAGTTCGCTAATTACTACAAGAAGTGCGATAAACGTCGCTACTGGTTCGTAAAATACTTTACTTACCCTCAAGTCGATGATCCGGTTTTCAAAAAGGATGTTAGCCAAGAAAACTGGTAAAGAGCTTGTTGGTTAAGCCACTCATGAAAACAAGATGTAGGGACGTGAGTAAAGAAGAGGTGAGGGAGGGAGCTGATTTTTTGATTATGAAATATAAAATCTATGTAAATAAATAATCTGGGTTTGAACTGAAAAATTAGCACTCAAAGCATTTTACGTGTTTCCCTAATTTTGGGAATATTACAAAATTTAGACTTCCATCCTACAGTCATCCTTATAAGTTTTTCATAGTCCTTGCGGCTTATTCTTTTTTGTGCGATTGCTCGAGATAAGGCAAATAAGAAGCAAGCTTACAGGTACTGTGAGCTATATTCTAGCATTTGATGATATTTCTTTTGAACTGTTGTTGTGGAGTACAGATTGTTCAAACTTGAATTTCATGAGCAAATTGTTTTATTTGTTTCACGAATTTTATTATTTCTTTCATTCCAAGATGCATAGCCTTGCTTTACTTACCATAAAAGATTACTTTTTTCATGGTATTTACTATGTAATTAAAATAGCCATTACCCTGTTCAATCGTTTCCTTTTTCAGAAAGATCGTGATCTCGAAATAGCAGCAAAAATTGGTCAATCGCTGCTGGAACAGAACAAAGATCTCCAACAACGGTAAGTGGATTTTATTTTGATTTTGATGGTCTTCTCTTGAGTTCAGAAATTTTTTTTTTGTTGTCAATACACGTAAAGGTTCTTAAGGAGCCATTTTACTATATTATCGTGCAGTTCATTTGTTTTGCCACAACGTTTACACTTTTCAGCACCGAATTTCTCGAGGAAAGTTTAGCGAAAAGTTCCGAAGAAATGGTGCAAATGAAACATGAGCTTGATCGGAAGGCAGAATTACTTCGAGTTTACTGTCACTATGACGATGACGGTTTCACTCGGTATGTTAGCATTTTTCTTGCTTGCTTTTTTCCTTTTATTTCTCTCCAAGTTACCATGGTAACAAGAACTTCTTTAGTGAAACAATTGACGATTCTCTCAAGAAACGCTTAGAGAAAACACGTTTAGAAAACCTTCAACTAAAACGAGATGTGAGTTTTTATTTTCTTTGTCAAACAATTTGTATCTCTTCAGATACTTTTGTAGGTGTTCTCGATGAAAAAGGAGATGGAGGCACAAATAGAGCGAGATCGGAAGAGGTATGAAGAAGTTTCGCGGCAATTCGAACAAGCGCAACAACAGGTGAGGGAGAATTTTTAGCGTCTTCAGCTCAAAGCACTTTATGCTGGCAAATATAGAAACAAAGCAAATATCAATGCTATGAGTGGAAAAATTTCTAATCCCTTTCTTTTCTATCACTCGGAAATTAGACAAGTTGGCAAATAATTTACTTTTCCTTCTATTCAGAAATAATACAAAGAACTTCTTGAACAAATATAGCCATTACTCAAGGTCATTTTTTGACGACGCCCTATTGTGATCATTGCCGCAAATGCAGCCATAGCCAGCAAACTAACGAAGTTTTAAAAATCATATTCTAAGCCCTGACCCTACTTTTGCTATCGCTTGTACATTACTTCTCTTGGAAATTCTTTGAGCGCTTCTTGAGCACTACTTCTCCTACATCAGCGCTGCGCTAGCCCGAAAACTGGGACGAAAAAAGTATTTGAAACCACTTCGGTTGCCTGTAATAGCAATTATAATTGATAAGGCAAGCTTAGAAATGCTTTAAAAATCATGTGACACACACCATTCCTGGCTGAAATGTACATCAAAATCTTTGAGAGCTTGAAGAATTTTAACTGAAAGAAAATAATGTGATAAAAATTACTTGGCAACCTAATGTAAGATTGCAAAATGAGAGTACTTTCTTTATCAGTTATCGAAATGCTGTTATTTTTTGTTTTCAAAGTTTTTTGGTAACTTGCGTTTTACTTGACCATGTATGAAGAGCTTATCGTCAGCATCCTAGACTTTTCCTAATTATTAATTATCGAAGAACCTACATCGACTTATTGTTAGCGTTTGAGTGACTTTTTCACTACACTAACTTCCTCTTTTCTGGTGCCATCTTCAGCTGGACAAAATGCAAGAAACTGTGAGCATCTATTGTTTAGCATGTGGATAGTACGAGCTGAATGTGTAGCGTAGTTCGCTTCGCATGAGCCGTGCGGCTTCATTTTCTTTATGCTATGTGCCAGTGTTGTGTTTTTAACCCATTGACGACGACGCCTAATTTTGCGCGGCGGCGCTGTGGGACGACGCGATTTTGCACAACACTTTTAGTGTGGGAAAATTTCGTCATTATTTACGGAATGCAACATTGTTTTGTAAACAACTATCATTATTTTCTTGAACGACAGAGCCTATAGGTCCTAAGAATACAAAAAATTGGAAAAAATATAAATTTGTGGAGAAAATACTAGACCTGCAAATAATACGACTTTGCGAGAGGTGTGGGCCACCGGGGGTCCACATCGTCCCTGGCAGCAAAAAGCGCGTAGGCCACCGGTGGTCCACATCGTCGTCAATGGGTTAATTGTATGTGGCTTGAAATTGTCTGTTGAAATATTCACCATAAGAGGGCACACAGTTCTAAAATGAGCAGCCAACTTGTGGCTGATAATAAACGAGCTCAAAATGAAGTTGCGTTGCTTTCAGGAAAAAACGAGATTTCGTGATTAAAAAAATTCATTTCTATCAGAAATCTGAATCACGAGACTTACATTTACTTGCGCCCATAAAATTTCAATTTTTGATCGTGTCTAACACCATCCCTAACTGATCAGAAATTTTTTTTGCATACTGAACTGACAAATTATGGGATTGTGAGAAGTGAATTATTTATCCAAGTAAATTTTATTACGGCATTGTAGACCTGAATACTATTCAAACATTCGTCTCATTTTAGATTGCCTCCCTCCACGCACAAGTTATCGAAAGAGGTGAAGACTATGCTGCACAGTCACTTGTCGTGGAAAAATTGCTCCGTGAGATCTCGCTCAAATGCTGTCGTGAACGAGAGGTAAGACTCATCCAGTTATTTCTTTTTCTTCTAGCAGAGGCTAAGGGAATAAGGAATCAATAAAACTTGAAAAGTTTGTTCAAATGTCAATTACTCGAATATATGTTGCGACCTCTAAAATCAAATACAAACGGAGGTTATAACTTTGAGAGAAAACACATATACATTTAGGTCCCTCCTTTTTGGAAATGTGAAGGTTCAGCATTTTGATTTTCAAAGTATGTACAATTGAAAAAAGTATATGCTCTTCCTACCTGTGCATATTCTCGCGCAAGTCTGCGTCCCCTTTACCTCAGAACACGGTACATTGTTGGTCTCATATTTCATGAATATTTTTTGGTGACCCCTTTCTTTTAGAAATTCTTGATTTTTAGTAAGAGCATACGTTTGTCAATCTCGTTATTTTACAAACTGATTAGATTTATATTTTGATTGTTGACTCCAAAAGAACATCTTTTAGCTAACTGCCGAAAATGCAGACTTGACCCGCCAAGTCGATGAAGCCCTCCAACGGCAGGCTGAACTAGGAATGCAAATGAAAGAGTTACAGGTAGTAAAATACCCCTCAAACTACATATTATCACCCAAAAATATCCTTTTAGGAGCGCTACGCAGAGCTGCGAAGTATGTTCTGTGACGCTGAAGAAGAACTGAGCCGGTTCAGATCGGCACCGCCTCTTCGAGCAGGATCCGTGGATTCACTTTACGACTCTCTGGCTTCAGAGCTGGAAAATAGCGATAGTGGATTTTCTAGTACTCCTGCTGCAAGTGCAAGAGCTGGTGATGCCCTGAATTTACGTCTTGAGTTGCAAAGAGCCACAGAGACGGTAAGGTTGCGCTGCTCTTTTTCTTCCTTTACCCCAACAACTTAGAATTTTCTAGAGCATCAAACACGCGTCTTCAAAAGAAGAATTCGATGTTCCATCAAGTGTCTTAGCCGAAGTGGTCCGTAAAAAGATCGCCATCGAGCCTGTAGCACCACCGCAGACTCCGCAGAGTGAGGTGGCCGTTACTCCGACGACGGAAACCACACCGACGTCTAAAAAAGCGGAACTCGTCCGTACACTCACTTGTGATGCGAGCACTTCTTGCACGGAGTTGGCTGGGTAAGATTTGGATTGTAATGACCTGGTCAGTGTCAACAAAGTATCTCGCTATTTGCAGTCCATCACTTTCACCGGTGGCAACGTCTACTCCAAAAAGATTGCGAGACACTGAGGGGCTGCTGCAGGTTAGTACAGACGCATAGAATTTTATTCGAAATTATATCTATTTGAAATGTTGCATCCTACACCAATTTCTCTAAATCTGTCTAATTCAGCCATTCAACTACTTTTCCTCTTTATTGCATTAGAAATCTGCACTTTCTATAATCAGACAAGCACATATCTCTTTCTACTCAAAAAAAAAATCAAATCCTTCGAAATTTTTGCTTCGACTTAGAATTATGGTGCTTACTTTGCTTTCCTAATTCTAACTTTCCTTGTATATAACAAATGAGTTCACACAAATTTGTTTTTTCTGCTCTACAAAGCAAATAAATAGATGCTTACTACATGATTGATCAAAAGCTATATGCTCGAAATGGGCATCATAATAACTGGATAAATATTCTTTGTTGATTTTTTGGCTTTGAAGGCACTCAATAAACCCATCGGATTCATATCAGCTAATCCCATCTTAAGCACCTTAAAGCTAAAATGCTAACAAATTTGGGATAATTCCAGGCCTTACTTTCTTACTATAGAGTTTCGCAAAAAAAAACTTAGGATCGATTACATCATGACGCTTAACCATTTGTTAAGTATTGAGGATCTACAAAACGAAATTTATGATAGTATTCATTGTAGCCTTACTTAGACCCACGTCAGCAGATTTATGTTTGTGCAAAATTTTGTAACCTTATGACTAAACGAGTTAATTACTAATTCATTGTTAATCCTTTGCAGCTATCCGAGCCGCGATCAGCCTCATCTACCCCAAACACTCCTCCACCAAGGTCATCGTTTCTGCCACACTTTCGTGGCTCACTCCGTTTGCCGCTTCGACCGCAGACGACGATGACGATGACGAGCAAATGCTCATCAGATGACTCTTTGGAGGACTACGTTGCCCCGAAAATGGGCGAACCTGGTGTGCCTGGCACACGCGATCTCAACTTCTCCCTCAGAATGCTCAAAGCTCGTCGGAAGGTAAGGTAGTTGACTTCTTTTGGGGCGGTGGTTGCTGCTTCTGCATGGGTCCTTCGTTGTGCAAGTGCTTTCACTACGTGCTTATCACCTCGTCCGCTTTCCTTACCTGTCAGACCTAGTCGTCTATTTTTTCTACAAGAAAAATTATGCGCATAAAGTGCATATAGAATTAGGCTTTTAATGAGTTTTGACTCGTCAGTTTATCAAAGAAAAAGGCTATGCAGGATTTCTAATCATGCAAGGGCCCGCTGCCGTTTTCAGAAAAACTTGCAGGAAATTTTTATAATTTTGAACTCTTGATAGTGTGATAAACAAGCTTTGCAATTTGATTTATAGTAATTAAAAGCCGCTTTTTGTAGCTTTCCCTTGCACTTTTTCAGCTTACCTCATAAAAAGTCATCAAACATGAAACAAAATTGCACTTCACTAATGAATATTTGCGCAGCTTTTTCAAAAATGTGCTTATGTTGCCATAGCAATAATTAGTTCTGATGTTAGAAGTTAGTTTTCACTAGAAGTAGATTTGTTTACGTATTATACAATACTAGCTGGCTTGCCCGGCTCCGCCGGGCCTGCCAGCTAGACCCGTGTACGTATGTTCCAAATAGAAAATTCCATTTCTGAACCGATCCGGACCAAACTTTGCACACATACACTTCGGGCCCCGGCGGGTGTCACAGTCCACTTTTCGTTATCGATCGATGTCGATTATACCGATTTTTATCGATCTTTTTTGCAGAGTTCACCTACAGGGCTAGGAGTTGGCACAGGGGGGAAGTGAGCATGGGGATTCCGAACACAATATTAGTTTTCAGAATTATCGATTACTTTTATTGATTTTATCGATTTTTTTGTAAATTTTGACCTGCGGGGCTGGGAGTTTGCACAGGGGGGTAATCGAGCATGCTGATTACGAACACAATATTAGTTTTCAGGATCGTCCATTACTTTTATCGATTTTATCGATTTTTTTGTAAAGTTTGACCTGCGGGGCTGGGAGTTTGCACAGGGGAGTAATCGAGCATGCAGATTACGAATACAATATTAGTTTTCAAGATCGTCCATTACTTTTATCGATTTTATCGATTTTTTGAAAATTTGAGCTAGGGGGCTGGAATTTGGCACAGGGGTGTAATCGAGCATGCTGATCACCCCCCTTGGGGATGATCAGCATGCTCGATTACCCCCCTGCGCCAACTCCCAGCCCCCTAGCTCAAACTTTGCAAAAAAATCGATAAAATCGATAAAAGTAACCGATAATCCCGAAAACCAATATTGTATTCGGAATCCCCATGCTCGACTACCCCCCTTTGCGAACTCTCAGCCCCGTAGCTCAAACTTTGCAAAAAAATCGATAAAATCGATAAAAGTAATCGATAATCCTGAAAACCAATATTGTATTCGGAATCCCCATGCTCGATTACCCCCCTGTGCCAACTCCCACCCCCGTAGCTCAAACTTTGCAAAAAAATCGATAAAATCGATAAAAGTAATCGATAATCCTGAAAACCAATATTGTATTCGGAATCCCCATGCTCGATTACCCCCCTGTGCCAACTCCCAGCCCCGTAGGTGAACTCAGCAAAAAAATCGATAAAAATCGATAAAATCGATATCGATCGATGACGAAAAGTAGCCTATGACACCCGCCGGGGCCCAAAGTGTATGTGTGCCAAGTTTGGTCCCGATCGGTTCAGAAATGGAATTTTCTATTCGGAACATACGTACATACAGACATACAGACAGACATACAGACAGACATACAGACAGACATACAGACATACAAACAGACATTCAGCTTTATATATAAGATATAGCAATTGAAGTCTTGGGATCGGCTAAAATGCCACGTATCCAAACTAATAACCATGAACAAACGTTCTTTCCGTTGATGTCTCTTAACTACTCAATGTATAGTCTTTCAACATAAATTAGAAAATAGTTGGAAACGTATCGCAGTCAGAAAACTCTTCCATTGTAAGGAGATTCACACCGGACAGACTTTGCATGAAAATGGTGACTTGTGACAAATATCCAGGCACATAAAGCCTGATGGGGGTAACTGTCTGGTCTCCCTTTTGAATGCGGAATCCCTTTGTTTCAGCATGTAAATGTGGATTTCGATTGTCATTGTTTCCACCGTGCTATCATAAAAATCAGTAAACTGTTTAACAGATAGAACTAGGAAGGAGGAATAGAGACTTTGATCTGAAAGCTATCGAGATGTTATTGTGTGGCTCTTGAGTATACCCACCAACTTCAAGATAAACATTAGCTAATCTAGTTCTAACTAAAGTTTATGAGATTTCGATGCAGGTAACTCTTCGAGTTATATGACTACAAGAACTAAGAGCTATGGGCTCCTACATTTTTTTCAAAGTTTTGATGTTCAAAAAGTGGAGAATAAAGAATTTTTATACGTAGACGGTGTGCGCTCCGTGGCTAATTTTTACGCGTAACTGAGAAGGCAGCGCAAACACCACATAAACATTAAAATGTACAAATCTTTGTATGTTTCATAGACAATCCTCATAAGGAGATCTTGAAAAGGGCATTTTTCTGTAAATAAGGCCGCTGTTTTCGATAACCTCATTGTAACCTCTAAAAACATCATGCTGCTTTAGTATCTCGGCAAAAATGATTACATTTTCTTCTCTTTGAAGATCTATTGAAAACAACCAGCTTAAAAATCCTGTGCACTTGGGGCAGCACCTTTTCTCGCAAAACAGTGGACACACATGCTCCTACGTTGCTCTGTAGTACTTTATAGTCTGTCTTGATTGTAGTGTCCTCTTTTGATAGGCACATCCGCCTCGCGATTGCTCGCGGCGTTTGCGCGCATTTGCCTTCATTGCTCAAATCTGTCGCATCGATCGAAGGTAAGCCAGGGCATACGCGCTGCGGATACCTAGCCGCACTCAAAAGGGACAATGCAATTCATACAGACTGTTATCATCGCACTGTCATAACCCACTAACCGAGGGTAAGGTAAAGCGTCGTTGGTGTATTCGAGTGCGTGGTGTGGCTTCTATGCATGGCGTGATTCAGACTCATGCACCGTCAGCAAGCCAGCAACCACTGCTGGAGGTCCGTGCTCGGCAGCAGCTGCCTTCACGTTCGTGCCATCAGCGGCTGTCATGTCGTCAGCAGGTTCGTGACCGGCTCTAAGTGATGCGTAGCTGTTCAGGTAGAGCAAGACTACGCGAAGTTTCTGCATCGCAAAGGCCTTCCTCCTAGTTCTTTCTTCTCACAACAATCGGTAGGAAGGCTTTAATATTCGTTCTTTCAAAATAGGCTTCCTATAACAATCTAATTGAATCCTACTGCATCGGGAAAGACTGACTAGTGTGTAGAGCCTGGTTTGGTGTTGTTTTTAAAGAGATCTGATTTCAGCCAACAAAAACCCCAAAAGCAAAGGAAGAACCATGGACTGACTACAGCATCGTCCTGGGACAAGACCACCAGAGGTTGGTTGGTTTGGGTGTGTTTTAATCCCTCTAATCATTATAATTTTACCCTTTAGGACGATTCGATCATACCGTGGTGCAGTCACAATCGGCCTTGGTGCATTGAAAGGCTCAGAACAGTCAGGAGTTCTGTCCAGAGCAGAGGTAAGAAAATGTTTACTTGAACAGATTAGGGGAAATCTATAAACTGGGAAAGATTTCGAGTTTTGCTTTTCTTTTTTTGGCAGAATCTTTATAGCAGAAAGATAGAATAGAGAGAGACTGCGAGCACAGTTTTTTACTTTCATTCAAGAATTTTAGATTGAGTTATCTTTTTCGAAGCGCCACGGTTACTATTATTAATCTCACGGTCTCTGATCGGGCTCTGTTTTACTGTAAATGAGCGCCCGATTGGGGAAGTCGTTCGCTTATAACAATGAACTGGTCCTGATTAGAGATCGGGAATTGTTAGAAATGCTTAGAAACCGCTCCAGATGTTCCTCACATCGTATCCATCTTTAAAAAATGGGCCAAATTATTTTTTCCAACAGTAGAATTTTTGATTTGACGTGCACTTGTTCTCCTTTCTTCCCCCCCCCCCCCCCGAGCCTAATTTTAGGACCAAGTGGATTTCAAAGTGCATCAAACTACATTGGCACACATTATTACGTGCGAAAAAAATCATCCGCAAAATTACGTGCATTTTGAAATTGCTGAGCTTGCTGAGTCAGATCGCATTAACATATCTATCTGCGAATTTCAATTCAAACTTTTTTTTCAGATAAACACCCCAACTTCCTCCCCACAAAGAATCTCGGACAATTTGCTCTCTGGTGGTCTACGATCTTTGGCTCCAACGCTGTCCGGCTCAATCGGCGACGCATTTTCAGGAAAAGGAATCATTCTTCGCCGATTTTGAGCTTTGATATCGAGGAGCTTCAGCGTTTCTCTACGGGTCCTTTGCTCACTCTTTTCATATTGTTAACTTACTGACCAGAGCACATAACACAGAGTATCTTGAACTAATAAATTTTTTGCTCCTAGAGAAATCTCAACTTACTTCTTCTGTTCCTTATTATCGTGTAAGTTATCTTGATGAGAGCATTTTGATTGTATAGGCTGACATTTGAGATCGGCTGAACGTTAGCAGCTCAACAGTTGGTTACGGCCTTCTCAATTCTCGCACTGGTGCAAAAGTGTAATTTTAAGTCTTTGACCCCCGGTAGATGAAGGTTTCATCATAGGTAGACTAGTTAGAGAGTGCTTTAATGTAATGATGTTGAATAAAATTTGTGACCTACATCTTTCTTATGTGTTGTAGTCTGGTTATCCAGGTACATTCCGGCTTTTAAGCTATACTCAAAAATTATGCTTGGATTACTGACGTAGTCTTCGTTGATCATGCAACCACTTATTACTTCAGTGGATGACGCTCGCCTTTCTGAGATTTGATTGGCTAACTGAAAGCACGCGTTACGCCCATTTCGCTATAGTGAATGCCAAATTGCGTTTTTTCAAGAACTTATTTAGCAGCAGCACCAAATTAAATCCAGAATCAGTAAGCCAACAAAAAACAAACATTGTTCTTTTATAATATCGCAGAGTGCCTTTTTTTTAAGCGATCGAGCTTCGATAAGAGGTATATTTAGAGAGAAGCAAGTGTAGCTTGTATCAAAATTAAGAATGGTAGCAGCTGTCAAATAGCGCTTGGTTGCATCCGATCAAAATTGGATGTAGAAATGTGTAAAATAGGAATTTATACATGCTAACAAAGGTAAAGGCTAAAGACTAGGTTAGATAAAAAAAATTCTATTAGTGTTTAGTACATTGAACGAACTCCATGTCTTGAACAAAAGAAATATAAAATTAGTTATTGTAAATTAGGAGGTTAACTGAAATTCCGCGGCCATTTCATCAGTATTTTTTTAGTCTTAAATTTCAAATCTTCAGCTAACCAAACTTCCATTTCGTTTTGAAAAGTGTGCATTTTATTGTCCTACGATTTTCTTACAGAAAATTTGTGCCTCAACCACCCTTTGTTTGAATGTTACTTCAAATGCCTGCCAATTTTTCCACAAGGCATTAGTAAATTAACGAGAAATTTCTGGTATAGAAACTTGCAAGCTCTCAGTCCAGACTCACTTGTAATCTCATAAATCTCAGTCTTTGGCCAGATTGCCACACCGACCTTCAGCAGCATTCAAAAAAAAAAACTTGTGAAAATTAGCATCTGAGAACAAGCTGCAGAATGATCACTACATTTGCACCGCATAGAACTTTCTCGTCCTTAGTGTTCGAATACCGCTGCAAATTTTCCGTTTCAAAGCTGCTCATGAATAAAACTTACGTCTAACGCGTATAGCGACGTGAAATTGTCGAGAAAAATATTATGCATGGATGGAAAATTCCGTAAGCGGTCGGGAGCCTACGAAAATATGAAAGAAAGCGTAAGTGTGGGCATCTTGCGCTTATTGTAGCTAGGGCCCGGCACGAGTCGGTTGCTAGAGTTTCTGAAAACGAAGTCCCTGACCGAAATCCACGAAGTCCCCTCTGACCCTTATCGGACACCTATCGACTCAGAAGGAGGGAAACAGAAAAGAGTCATTAGTTTGAAAGGAAAAACGTGAAATAATAGTGGAAATTAAAAGTGGAGCTGGATTCTACGCATGCATAGAAGTTTGGCATTAGAGCGCGATATCTAACAAAGCAATCTATGAAGATATCAAGGCAAAAAACAAAGTTAAGGCAACGATATGAAAACGTTTTTATGTTCGGGGACAAATTTTTGACTGGGGAATCCGTCCATAATAGAAGAATGCAAAATTTATCTGAATTTACAAAATATTAGGTTGTCACATAATTTTTTTGCCGTTTTTACTATATCCGTCGTCTCTTTGTATTATTCTTTAGATTGATGTGATTTGAGTAGCCATTCGACAGGGCAAAGCAAGCTCTACAAGATGGTTATGAAGAATCCGCACAAATCGCATTTCACTGGAATTTTTGAGCTGAAATCTGATAGCAGTCAAAAATGAAATTTTCCTTCAAAAATCGTATCCCCGCCCCAAAACGCCCTAAAAATTCCCCATTTGTCTAGCGTATGCTTGACACATCGCACATTTGCGCCATTCCCGTATTTTATGGCTAGAAATAAAGAAAAAATGAATGGGGTAAAATGGCAAACTCCGCCCCTAGACATCCTAAGCTCCTCCAACGCACATGATCATATAGCCTAGCTTATACATACAGAAGTACGGTCATATATTCGTAAACTTTGGGAGTGCTCAGTTCTTGAGAAATGCTGATGTTTGGGGTAAAAACGGTAAAAAATTATGGGACACCCTGATATATGCTACATGCGATCGTATGGTGGCCATCTGGAAACGGACTAATAAAGGTATAACTTCACCTAAGTCTTTAAAACCTAATAATTCTTACGTAAATAATTTTCTGCTCACAAGGAATACATGTTTAGTCGGAGTGGCCTTTTTAGATGGATGTATGCCATATTGTAGAGCAATGCTGATTCCAAATTTGCCTTCTTCATCTGCAGAACATTTATGAACGAGGAACTATGAGCGCTTGTTGGAGCAAAATTTGAATATGCAAGTAGGACAAAAATGGCCGTAATAATTTTTCTAGCTCTTCAGTGAAGCAGTGATAATCATCATAGCACTTTATTCAAAAAATATTTTGGAATAAAAAATACACCACACTTCATTGCATCATTTGGGGGCTAGTAAGCTTTTGGTAACCCATTTTATCCAAAATCCACATTCATTTTTTGCTTCAATAAGCACTCATAACTCGTTGTCCTTAACCTTTTGCAGATAAGGAATGCAGATTTGAATCAGCTTTTCATGCCCTTTAGCATGTTATACATCCCATTTAGAAAGGCCATTTCGATTAATCAAGCTTTCCTCAGACAATTGCTGCAGCGGCCCGGTCGCCCAACTGCGCTTTGCTGCTGAGCTGCAACACCTTATAACAGCCTTACATGCATCAGGCCCAACAGCGGCCCTTAGGTGTGAGCTGGCGGCCCGCACACATAGTTGATGCCATGCTGACGGTCGTCCGCACGCCTGTATGGGCCCATACTTTCACTGGCGCACTCATTCAGACGCATGCTGAATTCAACAGCGACCAACTCACCCACATAAATCAACGCATGTTGTAAGCGCAAGAATTACTCGCGTGGGGTACGACGTAGTGCCAAGGATGCCATCGGAGCTTGCAGGAGGAGAAACACTTGCCTCTTGGGCTGACAGCAGGTTTCCTCTTGAGTTGACCGTTGATGGGGGTTGTGATCTCGATCTCGTGTAGTTCGATCAACAATGTGAATGCAGGGAACGAATTTCACTATTTTTGATTTCACATGGGTTGCATCCATAATGCGTTGACCGCGCATGCATGTGCGGCCGAGCAGAAATCCACCGGGTGGCCCTGATATGCTAACGCGGGCAAGCAAGGAAAATGAAACACAGGCTCGCCCCTCTCGTCCGGATGACAGAGTCGCTGCACACACTGGAACCCTGCTGGCCCGCACTCATGGCAGGGCCAGCTCCGGCATGGTTTTTCGCCCAGCCGGCCGCGGGTGGCCGCAAAAAATGTCTGAGTATGCGTACAATCCAAATTTGGTCTCATATGCTTGTCTCAGAATGTAAACACGCAGTTTGTTGTTTTTGACTTTGCTTTCAAATCGCGCGCGTTTCGCGAGACACGATGAAGCATGTCCATCGTATAACACCTGTATTTAAGGCTGAGTTCATACTAATTCGGATGTTCTAAACTGTGCTGGAACTGTTCCAGAACTGTGCTGCATGCTCTGCAACCGCCCGCATGCGGCTAGCGGCGAAAAGTTGAGATTTTTAACCGTTTTCAAATTTTTTTCTCTTAAATTCCATCATTTTGGCCTCATTCTTCCAATCCGCTTCCCCTTCGGTAACAAAACCTTGCATTTTGAAGCGGGGTTGCAGAATGGCCGCCATTTTGCTGCTTTATCAGAGAAGATGTGTACAGACTTACTTTATGTGTTGCAGGACACCGCTGCATAGTCTCCACAGCCATCTGTCATGAGGCAGGCACCATTTTCGATGCAGAAAAAATTACTTTTTTCTCAAGAGTGCTATTTTAGACATTCTCAGCCCCTTTTCTTTTTCCATATCGTTGTTTATCTGTTCTTTCTTCTACCACGCTTCTCTTGGTAATGCCAAAAACCGCTCAATGGAAGCGAGCGTGAAAAGTGAACGCTATTCTGCTCCATGTATCCGGGAAGACATGTTTTCGTGCGCTCGTCCATTCTCTCTTCATTATTTTTGTTCACACCTACTTCATGTGTTCTAGAAAACTATCTTTGCATTTTCAATACAGATTGGGAACTATGCAGCGGTTTCCTAAAACACATAAAGCAGCTATGTACAAAATTAACAAAAAATAGAACAAACAAGCACACGATCTGGGGTTCCGCCCCAGACTCCGCAAAAGCAAGATCACCTTTGCTTTTTCTAAAACAAAGTCCAGCCTGCTTCCATTCAATCTGTGCCGGGCCCTGATTAGAGCATATACATGTAGTTAGGCCACCACGCCTTACTACACAGCCTAAAAGTATAGGTCATATAGTCGCATATGTAAATTTTAGCGCAGAGCACGCACTTAAAATCCGAGCGTTATGCAGCTGACCAGGCACTCAAAGCGACCGTAAAAATCAGGAATCAATCTCTCCATGCCTAATGACAAAGAAAGAAGACAAAGCATAGTCAGTTTTGCTGCGAGAATACTTGATTTGCGAATGAGGTTATAATTTTTAGAATCTTTTACCTTTAGTAGGCTACTTTCTTTCTCAGCTGTACGCAGAGCTTCTAAAACGTAGATCATTGATGACAATAGCAATTTTGCTTTTATAGTGCCACGAAAGTCATTTTTGAACGTTGCGATAACCCGATGTTATACATGTACAGGGTGTCCCAAAGGTTTTTAAGCCTAGTATTTCTTCAGCTGAAAGTGAACAAAGTAACTTGGGCGCATGAAATCTGAATATAGTTTCTGAAGGATCTATATAACCATAACGTACATTCAGGTCCCAAAAATCTTCCTTTGGACTCCACACAAGCCTTCAGACGCTTGCGGAACGCATCCATCGGGCACATATCGTTGACGTCGAATCTTCCCAAGCATTCTGAAACGCTCGCCTCAAGCTGACCAAATTCTGGTGGGAGTAGCGCATACCGTATTCTTCAAGACTGATCAGACAGAAAAGCCAATCGAGTTCAAATCTGGGAGTAAGCGGCCATTACTTCGAGTTGAACATCGCGAGAAAATTCACCTTACATTACTCCTAAACGATCTGCGCTTTGTGGGAGGATGCAGAGTCCTGCTGGAAGGTCCAAGGTCGCCTGTTGAATTAGATTCGGCTCCAACGAAGCATCTCCTTCACAGAAATGAAGGAGATGCTTTCTCGGAGTATTCCACATAATATTATTCTTTATTTATTCTTACTCCTGGATCCACAAAAACGAGTGGCGTCAAGGATATCTATGCCGCGTGCCGTTGTGTTTCACCTCAAATGACCAGCATTTCTGGAGTCGAGAGCCTTCATTTGTTCCGTCAAGGCATGGCTCTTCTGCATCTTCAAGCTGCGGAGTCCTAAGCATTTTCTCATGATTCTCTGGACCGAACTTCGGCTGGTGTTAAGCTCTCGAGCATTCGCGATGTTTCTCTAGGGATTCCGTCGGATTCTCTCTCGGACTCGTTTCACCATCCTTAACAGCAGTCGTTGATCTCCCGCTTCTGGATTCTTGAGTGAACTGGGTACTGTATCGCCAAATACCAGTGATTTTCTCAATTTGCTTTTGGGGAAATCCCTCCTGGCTCAACTTCACGATCGTGGCGCTGTCTGCTCTAGACACCATAACTTGAGAATGGACCGAGCAAACTTCATGATTTCTTGAAAAGATGTGGGGAGCAGGATTCTACAGACATAGACAAAGTTTAGTTTGAAACAAGGATTGGCATAGTTAGAAACTTATAAATTTAGGCTTAGAAACTTCTGGGACCCTGTACATGAAGCCAAAACTTTCGACCAAGTACGAAAGTTGATTTGCAAATGAAATCTGAAATGAATAAAGTTCAAGAAAAATGAATTAGATTATGTCTTACAATTAGCTGTGCGGATCACAAAAGACTAATAACAAGTTGAAACAAAGTCCTATTGCGTATTATTGCGTCCCCTCTTATTCTGAATATGGGAGCGACTCATTATTTGAAGGACTAATAAGCAGATACTAAAAAAAAGTTCTCATCAACAAGACTGAAAAGGCAAGCATGAGTAAACATCGAACAATGGAAATTACTAAGAGTATTCCATAAGTTATATAAAACAGCGCAGACGAAGAAGTAGGAAACCGTTTCATACTATTATGCAAATTTTCAATCCGCGACGATCTAAGGAAAAAAATCATGATAATTTGTGAGCAAAAGATCGGATCTAGTTCAGAGCCGGCACAGATCGTCTGGAAACATATTGTACTTCGTTTTCGCGAAAAAAGCAGGGGACATCATTTTTTGGGTCCGGAAAAACACATGTGACCTAGGTTTTATTAGTCGACGCTTTCGATAAGAGTCAAAGAAAACTTCGTAAAATCTTGCGCAACTCAGAGGGGGGAAAAGGGGGAATTTCGCCTTGAAGAAGCGTAGAAACGGACTCATACCCCGTCCTGATCTAGCTCACAAGCTGGCGCCAATCAAGCTAATCTAGCTCGTCTAGTTTAGATAAGTCAGCTGGCACTGAACTATAATGATTCTAGCCAGTGAAGTTTGTCGCAGCTTCTCACACTTCTTATGAACTTCTCAGCGGTTTAAGGTCCTCGCGTATTGCATAACAAAATTGGTTTCACGTTATGGTGATTGATAAACAAGGCATTAGCTTAATTGTGATGAAGCTTCGAGCTCTTGCTTGCGCGAGATTGTGCTAGAGCATAAAGTCAAACCATGTCTCGACTTGGTCAAACAAGTGAGGATATCTAGATGGACAAGTTCTGACGTGGGGTTCAACCTTGCTATATCGTCGAGTCATTTGTAAGCAACCATGCGTCTGCACGCCAGGCGCGTTACTTCACGACTTGCAAATCGGAAACTTTTGACTTTTAAAAATTTCCCCTCTTTTGTTCTCGGTTTGATCGGTTATTTTTTAGATAGTAAAACACATCTCCACGGTCTTTTTGGGAAAGGAAGTTTTGGTGACGAGTTTACAGTTAAGTGTCGTCAATTCCCGCCGGTGCAGGCTCACACATCCTATAATTGATTCGCGCACATATCGCTGCTTTTTTTTTCGAACACCACCTACATCCCCGCGGAAGCAATATTCCTTTTCTTTCTCTGCAAAAACGTTGACCAGTATGATCGCCATCTGTGACGGTCAAGAAAGGCCCAGAATTGGAACCAAATCATTTGGATCATGTTGGGCAGTACATAGATCTTGGCAGAATTGTAATTTTTATTGAAAAGTGTACGCACAAAAACGTTACAAATGAAGAAAACCTCTTCTCGCTGTTCCAATGACTGTCCTTGCTAACAACTTTGCTGTAAAGAGATACTGCTCTGCAGCGAAATCTTGGAAGCTTTACTAAAGCCTAAACGCAGAGATAATTGTTAAAACCAAGCTATGATTATTTTAGGTAGCCAAAAATGTAATGAAATCCAAGCCTAAAGATCATCGGTTTTGTGACCTAGTGTTCTAGAATGAGCAAAGTCTGCGCTGAAAGAACATTGTCAACACAGATTACTTTTTCGACAAAATGACAAATTAGTAGTGGGTCCGAAACTTCGTGCCGTTTAGACCTGTCCTCAGATCATTCAGACTAAACATAGATAAACAATCTAAGGAGGGTTTTATAATTTTTTTTCTCTTTCCAGCAGTAATGTTCCTGTTCGGTTCCTTTAGTGTTCTCGTGGAAAATTGTCAGAATCTTCAACCCGTGGTTTTTACCTATCCTATTTTGCTATTGTTTAAAATTTTTGTTCTGGATTTTTGGAGACACTATGATAACAGTTAAACAAAATGCAATGTAACAAAATTTTTTGGCATCGATAGCTGGCTTTTCAAAATTTTTGAGATCATTTTTCCGATGCTATCAAGTCCCATATATAGGCATCCCCCTCATAGAACATCAGACGGCAAAGAGCTAGCGCGTCATTTGATGCATCTTTTCTTCTCTTTTTGAGACATGCTTTTCGATCTGACTCGTAAATGCCTCGAGGAAGAAATTGCCATAAGTCCCGTTTTGTGATGCTTCCCAGGCTGCACCCGAGAATTCCAAAAATCAATCATTCGAGACGGTAGAAATATTGGTTCTTTAAAACTAGTGCTAAATCATTATCGATTTTTGGAAGTTCTAATTTGCTATTTCATAGTGTTTGAAGCGTTTGTATATTCCACGATTTCGCAAATGCGAAGACTTTTGGAAAACGTGTTTCAAAAAATACTGAAAAGCTAGCTATCGATGCCAAAAATGGGTTTTGTAGTATTTTATTTTTTCTATCCAACTGTTATTGAAACATATCCAAATGTCCCAGTAGGTTTCGTAAAATGCATATGTTGGAGATTGTGGCGATTATTAGAAAGGACATTTTAGTAATTCGAACACTAACAACAATTCTGAAAAGAGGTAGAAATTCTGCATAGAACACTTTTTAGAGCGTTTGTGTATCGTTATTCTGAATCATTTGAGATAGGTCAAAAAAGGGCACAAACTTTCGGACCTACCTAATAGAATATTTTGCTGTGTTTCTCAAAAGGCAACCCTTAATAAAGATGTACGATCTGCTCAGAATTTGCTCACGATTAGTTGAAAAGACAAGCACACGCACGCTATACTTCCGACGATTTTTGACGTATCATCTGAAAGTAAATAAAGCTCAAGTGATCTTTTTCAATCACTTCCACCTCTGCAGTCAGTGTTTAGTAGAGAATACCTCCAAAAAGTGCTCTAAAGTACATGATCCTCCCTTTATGGCGATCAGTCAAGACCGTCGTGACAGCAAGAGAGTATGAGCTTTCTGAACTGGAGCAACAGAACTTTCGGAAGAGCTTAATATAAGCCTCAGCCCACTGAGGACAACAATTAAGTTTACTTAGGACAGTTTCAGGCTATCGGTGTTGTGATTTATCTCTGATTGTGTGATTTTCTTTGCACAATCGTATCCGACACTCTGTTTTTGCAGCTCATGTTCAGGTGCTATGTCAGCAATGGTGCCTAAAATTTCTGAGTCTACTAGTCCGGTAGCTCCCATATGTCCAGTTTGCTCAGCGGTACCGCCAGACCCAACGGTAAACGCTCAATTACGTAATCACTGAAGAATTATGATGATTGCGAAGACTATAGTAATTTTCATTATCTTACAATCACTCCGATCATTTTTATTCAGGATCAATTCTGTCGACGATGTGGATGCCAGCTGAAATTGACGTGTGCTCACTGTAATGGCAAAATAAGGTATTTCTTGGAGGATTGAAATCCTATAATCTGGCAGTCTTCTAGATACTCTTGTTTATGCAACCTGTTGACCATTACTGAAAGGTTCTTCCACAGATTGATTGAAAGTAATCGTTGACATGGTCCACTGTCGAACGAAGGCTCGTGAAATCGCTCCTTTTTCACGTTTAGGAATCGACCGCTTTTGCCTGGCCATAGATCTTGAATTAACATCCCTCAGTATACCATCTCACGTGTCCACCAATTCATCCCGGGCAGTTCCAAAATAGTCTGTAAATTCAAATGTTCGACTTTCTCTGAATCTCGGCATACTTGTTTAAATAATGTTTTGTGTTTTTGAGCCAGAACCGAGATTGTTACAGATTTTTATTGGCTTACGTTTCGGCCACTTCGCCGTCCTCAGAGCCTGAATGGGACGATATGCAATTCGCAGACTATCCGAAACAAAGCTTTTTAAAACCACAAGCAAATTCAAAAGTCAAGCAGTGTAGGTATATATCTTCTCTCGGGCGATACTCACCCTCCGTCAAACTTCTTTTGCAGTAGGAATACTGCCGTCTAGTATGGACGTAGATGCACAGTGGGTGACATTCTAGAATATTTGTCCCATATATGGTAGCAGCTCACGAGTGATAGCGACACATTCTTCTTTACGGTCCATTCGTGGATTTCGGGCGTGGATGTAATAAGCTTCCAGAGTCTTGCGAGCTGATGTTTTTTGTTCATGCGCTAAGATTTGTACTTTGATTTTGAAATCGTTTCTTTCATGTTTCTGCACTCTGTGAGTGCCTAATGGCGTTGAAAGTCGTGACTTCTCTTTACCATCAAGGTGTTCTTTAATGCGAATACATAATGGCCTGGCAGTTTCACCTATGTAATCATCACCGCATTCCACACATGTGATGAGATAGATTACTCCTGAGCTCATGCAGCTTCCACCTTTGATCGGGCAAATTACACAGTTCGGAGTGGTGCAGTCTCGATCGTATATGCGGTTTCGAACCAGCATACGTTTGAGATTATCTGGAGGGATGTCCACAACCGAAACCAAATTGCTCAGGCCCGTTTTCCTCAAACATTGCCGTATTGCTTTACTGACTTCATCGTTAATAAACGGCATAAGAAAAGGAATCTTTTCTTCATCAGCCGAAGTCAACTTCTCTTGTGCTTTGCGACGGTGGTTGCGATGCGGCATGCTGTTGTTATAACCATTAGAAGTCGCTATTTTGTGCGCGATGTTCAATGATTCTCTCCTTTCCTCAGGACCAGTGCAAACTTTCGAGGCTGTGCGGAACATATTTTTTATGACAGCGTACTTCATGTGTTGCGGATGGGCCGAATGGAAATGGATGAGAATATTTTTATTGCTTGGCTTTCTATACCATTTCGTTGCGTAGATGCCGTTGGCGATGTTGATCTGGACGTTCAGAAACGGCAGCCACCCATGAGTTGGTTTTTCCCGGCTAAGTTTTATGTGTTCTGATTGTCGATTCATCAGCGCGAAGCATTCATCAATTTCTTCTGTAAATTACTTTCTGCGCATTGCTCGATAGCTGATCAAGAAGAGGAATGTTAGCGATATATAAAGAGGACCTTTCAAATCATGAAACCTTCTTTCACAACAGCCGACGATTGTACCTGTGTGCTGCTACGATTAAACAAAGTTAACAAGATATTCTATGAGATGATATAGCCAAAAAGCGCAAAGAAAACTCTTAATCTGTTGAGAGATGGATTGAAGAATGCAACACTGCCACGCCATCACAGAACTGCCAACTGATAATACTGAGTCCTAATTAGTAGAAAATCATTGGAGCTTAAAGGCACCGTCCACCCTAAGTTGAGGGTGTTGAGCTTTTGGCAGCATATGACAGTAGGGCCTCCTATTAAGTCAATGCCCAAGTCACGGCGCAAAATGTCGCTTCGGAAGCAAGAAAATCGCTTCGGAATAGCGAAGATGCACGAGGACCCCCATCCATGCCCGCCAATTTGTGCGCGCTCATCCAATCATCGTTCTGGAAAGCCGGCCTGTGGGTTCTCCGGAACGGGGATCGCCGGGCTTTTCGCAGATTCTCGAATTCATTTTTGCAGGGATATGAGAAGGCCCTGAAACGACAAAAACCTGAAAGTCGAGAATCTGGGTGGACGGTGCCTTTAAAGGCACCGTTCGCCAAGGATTGAGAGGGTAAGATGCTGATAAGGAACAATGCTGGGATCCCTAACATCCCTAATGTCCAAGCTTTGTTGCAAGAAGTTCCCCGGCAAGAAAGTTGCTTTGAAAGCTAGAGGCGTATCTGTCGGACTTGATCATCGACGCGCGTGGCCTGAACGAGTAATAAGGCAAGTCGGTTTGCAAGCAAATGAGCGAAATCAACGTTTGAACAACCCGACACTATTGAACAACAGATAGCTAATAATATAATTTATTTGCAGACTGAAAGACACTAGATGACAAAAAAAAATGGCAAGATGAAAGAATAAAATGTAGAAGACCACTCTTGGTCCAGGCACAAAAAGAACTCACAAGCTCATAACAAAGCCATAAGCGTGGCTTGCCGTCAGGTCATCCCGCACCTCTCACCGCCTCATCCTCACTATCTCGGCGCGTGTAGACTACGGGCACGCCATCGCATCCTTAAAGGCGTGTCCAAGCAAAATTGGGCGCATGCATTTTTCGCGTAATTGGTCAGGGGGTCCTGGTTAAAGCAATGCCCAAATTGCAGCGCTAATGATTCAATCATGGCTAAGAAATCCATCTCCTAACTCATCAATCCTGCGCCGTGACCGTAACTCGCGAGTGACTGGCGGGTCCCACGCGAACGTATTACTAAACGGCGCAGACTCAGTTGCGGGTTACGGTCACGGCGCAAGGTTTGAGAGTTTTGGAGGTGAATCTCTTAGCCTTGGATAAAAAATTTGCACTGCCGCTTAAGGGTGCCTTCATACCGCGCCGGCAGCCGCCGCTAGCAGCCCGTAGCAGCCCGTAGCAGCCGTCAGCAGCCCGTAGCAGCCGCCAGCAGCCCGTAGCAGCCCGTAGCAGCCGCCAGCAGCCCGTAGCCGCTGGCCGCTTTTGTCTAGAAGCACAAAATCGTCATTCTTACTATTTTAAGCGCAAACGCCCACGCTTTCCATCTTTTACGCTTTTCCTTCCTGTTGCCGCAATTCGATCTCATATATCATATTTGTGTCCACAGTTGTTATGATCTTGTTAACCGTAGATTGGTTATCCTATTGATGCTCAGTTTCCCTCTCGCAGTTGAACCATATTTCGCCAAACTTTCTTCGCAATGTGATTTCTTCACTTTGGATGCGTCCAGTTCCCGCAGGTTGCTATCTGTTAATTTTTTAGGTATGTTCTGCTTCAATCATGTCACATCCGCGTGGAAGACGGAAAGTATGGGCAGGCGCACGCGAAGTATTAAGAATGTGATGATTTGCGCTTCTATGACAAAAGCGGCCAGCGGCGGCTACGGGCTGCTGGCGGCTGCTACGGGCTGCTACGGGCTGCTGGCGGCTGCTAGGGGCTGCTACGGGCTGCCGGCGGCGGTTGCCGGCGCGGTATGAAGGCACCCTAAGCAGTGCCTTAGTTAGGTCCCCCTCATCAGTTTCCACGCGAAAAACCCACGTGCTCAAGTTTGTCCCTACACTGCCTTTGAAACCATGAGAGCTGTTATCTATTCGATAAACAACAAAGAAGAAACATTGTATACAAACATATACAAAGTACACAAACAGTTTCCTAATACCACAAAGGGGTAAAACGCTTCCACTGCGCGTTCAGTTTAGCGTTATTCTCATGAATTTTCGGAGAGCTTCCTTCTTTGAAAACGAAGTTTGTCCTTCTGCTGTATGATGTGAACCTAATCTCCCGTCGATAAGAATTCCGTTGGTGCGACCATGACTCATGCCGTCCTCCTCGGCCTCGATTACAGGTACTTCCCGAGCGCACAGCGTCCGAGTTCGACTCCGAAAATTCGATGCTTGCTGCCGAAGCGCTCAAAAAACGAAACGCTGGGAGCCGCCTACAAAATACTGGCTGATAAGATTAATCTGTAAAAAAGACAGTTTTTGCAAAGTGCGGCGAAACGACTCCGGAACGCCACAAAAAACCAATAAAGCGCATTTTTAAAACTGCAGAACTTCAAAAAGATACTACTGATCCTAAGAACAGATGCAGAAGTGCAGCATTTAGCCGGAGAGAGCCCACGAGTAGCACCCTATAATCGAGGGCCTAGGAGCACAGCATAAGTCATGGTCGCACCAACGGAATTCTCATCGACGGAAGTATAGGTATGCATCACACAGCAGAACGACGCCAAAAACTCTTATTCCACTTTGAAGAGATGTGGCCAACTTCGCCACATGTAAAACTTTACAGGGACTTTGTTAGTTGCACACTGACAAGCGGTTTACAACTAGTGGGATAGGTTGGCTTTTAGGTAGCAATGGAAACTTAGCCATACCTTCTCGAAGCTTTTCCAGCCTCCTTGCCACCTTCCTGACTGCTTCGTACTCTTGCCTTTCAGCGCGTTCAAAGCAGCAGGCATATGGTACAAATCCTTCCGAATCTTTCCAAACACGAATATAGCTTGGAACTGCGAGCCGTGAATGAAATTCCACTCACAGCTAAAATGTATTTGCCTAAAAAGCTCCTCCGCACGGCAACAGAATATTACCGTGGCTTCTCCATTTCGTTTTGAAAGCTCGTCCCGCTCTTTTGAGTTCGCCATGCTTGGTCGAGGGCTTCTTCTACACCCTTGGAGATTCCCTCTCGCACGTTTTGGGTCAAACTAATGAAATACCGCCTTAGCGTGCCCTTCAGATGGTTTACAAGGATGTCCCTTCTATCCCTGTCCTACCAAACACTTTTAGGGAATTTGTTTTTCAGCGCCTGTAGGAAGTCGCCCAAAGAATGTCACACATGCCACACTTTGTGCTTCGAGTACCTCTCTAAACATGTAAACATGTCAGTTGCCGGATTAGCTGTCAAGTCGTCACTCTGTTCCATATTTATAATCGATATGAAGTCATCGATCATCGATCTCGGATGGACAGCGGCAATGGTGGACGCAACGACTTGGTTGAGGCTTGTGGTGGGGTCGGAGCGTGGCTTCTCAACATGGCATCTCTTAACACTATTCTTGACACTATGTCTCTGTAATGTTCGGTACTGTTCCCGCGGTTTGCATTCATCCTCGACAAGGCTTGTTGAAGGGTTGGGCCAGACTGCGCGGCGTACGCGACGTACGCAGCGTACTCGCGTATGCTCCTATGATGAAATATACCGAGCGTACGCTGCGTACGCCGCTTCCCCGCGAAGTCTGGCTCAACCCGAAGCTGCTGCGACTGGTGGTTCCCCTGCAAGGGGCCGAAGAGTTCCTCGATTCGTTCCTGTAACATCAACATTTGTGCTTGCAAATCCTCCTCTCACCTTGAACTCTTTAGGGACTATAACTTAGTCTCTTAGGGCCGCATGCACTAACCTCCCCGCGGGGAGGGGATCGCAGCTTAAAAGAAAGCTTAATATTTCGAAACTCCAGATACTTGGATTTCACGTTGTGTACCTATCCGTAAGTATTCCTACTATCCTTCACTATGAACATGTTGAAGAGGAGCGAGAAGCTGTACGAACCGCATTTTCCAGCTTTTGTGTGATCCCCGATGATCCCCGACGCTTTCCTTTAAAGTCATTTTTCTTTCTCCGAAGTTAACGAAAACCTTTCAAAGTTGTACTGAACATCTAACCCGACAGTGCTAAGCATGTTGCTGATGAGAAAAAATGAGTTTTGAAGTCATGAAATTTTCGATGATCCACAGGTCGAAATTTGAGGTTTACCGAAAAATTCGACTTTTCAAATACTCATTTGTTCTCATCAGCAACATGCTTAGCACTGTTGTGTTAGATGTTCAGTACAACTTTGGAAGATTTTCGTTAACTTCGGAGAAAGAAAAATGACTTTAAAGAGAAGCGCCGGGGATCATCAGGGATCATACAAAAGCTGGAAAATGCGGTTCGTACAGCTTCTCGCTCCTGTTCAACATGTTCATAGTGAAGGGTAGTAGGAATACTTACGGATAGGTAAACAACGGAAATCCAGGTATCTGGAGTTTCGAAATATAAAGCTTTCTTCTAAGCTGCGATCCCCTCCCCGCGGGGAGGTTAGTGCATGCGGCCCTTAGTCTTGGATGTGGGGCCGCCATCTGTTTTTTAGATCTGCTATAGTCACCTCGTTGTTCTCATCTACGACCTCGAACTCATTAATATCACATCCAAGCCCACTCAACCTCAGAAAGCTTGAGCAATACTCAACACTCATTTGGAACTTATCACGAAGTGGATCGCGATTTACCTGGATGGCCCGATTCCCCCTCGTGGCTGACTTGCGAACTCCCGTAATCGAAATCATTGTCTGTTTCCGCTCCGAGGGTGAGAAGTGCCTAATGTGTACCCGAGAAATCCTCATCGATTTGACAATTGCTCACCTTTAAAGGCAGTGTCCGGGCAAAAAGTCGATTTTGAGATTTTGTGCTTACCCGGGCCTATTCCCCATGCTGAATCCGAATATCCACACTGGAAAGCGCGAAAACGGCGAAAAAGGGCTCTAACGCAGGAGGGAAATCAAAAGTGGGCGGGGTCTTCCCCAAGGTGAATTCACGGTCCCAGCTTTCGGAGCGATCTTTTCAATCCCACTAACCGCCCTGACATCCCAATGGACCAGGTGCGAATGCATGATCTGAAGTCGGAAGCGAAAAGATTGCTCCGGGAGCTGGGACCGTGAATTCACCCTCTTTTGATTTCCCTCCTGCGTTAGAGCCCTTTTTCGCCGTTTTCGCGCTTTCCAGTGTGGATTTTCGGATTCAGCATGGGGAATAGGCCCGGGTAAGCACAAAATCTCAAAATCGAGTTATTGCCCGGACACTGTTTAACGAGTCCCACTTACTGAGCGAGTCGTCCTGGCTTGTGAGGTTTCGTGGTGATAGCGTTTCGTGTTCACTTGCCTGAGGCTTTGCTCCATGAATAAATTCACTTCACGAAAGAAATCGAGGGGTGAATATCCCGACGCTTTTCAATAACAGACACAGCAAATAAAAACAATTCATTTGCAATGATCAAAAGGCACTAGCAATGACAAAAGAAAATGACAAAATGAAAGAAGAAAATTCAGAAGACCACTCAACCTCCAGGCACAAAAAGAACTACGAAAGGAAGAAAAGCTCATGGCAAAGCCAGACGTGGCTTGCCTCAGGTCATCCCGCCCCCCCCCCCCTCATCGCCTCATCCTCCTATCTCGGTGCGTGTATCCTATGAGCTCACCATCGCATGCCTTAGCTATAAGAGCTGTTATCGATCCGATAAACAGCAGCAATAAAAGTAGTGAATACAAACGTTTACAAAGTATACAATACAATTTTAATACCACAGGCTTAATTTTGAAGCTACGAGTGTAAATATTCCGATTTCTACGATGAAAGGAAGGCTTTAACCTTCTCGGATTACCTCCAAATCAGCTGCAAACTTTTACTTTCTTTGACAAGCGGGATCACCCCTGCCGCATACACCATCTTATGCTCTTTCCTCTCTCCGGAATATACGTTCTGCAGCGAGACTTGAACAATTACTTGCAGGGCTTATCAAACGCAGTGTCGTTTGCATCAGCATTTCCACTCCCGCGCTGGATTCTGCGTCTTTTGAGCACGCTCCCTAATCACTTCCAATTGATTGAGGCTCCGCCTTCCCACGCTTGCCTTGATCAGAGGGAAAGTGATCAGAGAGCATGTTTGCGGAAGAGATGCAGAGTCCAGCGCGAGAATGGAGATGCTGATCCAAGCGACACTGTGTTTGACAAGCCCTGTATCTTAGACCTCGTTAAAGACCTCACCAACCTCAAAATAGGCACTGCTTTTGAACACCTTTAAATTAAGGCAACTATACCAGCTTGAAAAAGTCTCAAAGATCTCCGCATCTTACCATTCCCCCTCCCCCCCCCCCTCCATTTCGTTGGAAAAGGTTTCTATCGGACAAATGATAACAATACTTTGAAGGACAGGTAAACATTGTTCGAAATGTAAACCATTTGGAATCATTAAATTACTGCCCAGATGATACTTTGAATAAAGATATTGACTAATTCAACATGGACTATGACTTAATATTCTGCAACGTAATGAGTGCCCAATAATCGCCATCGAGTGTCTGGATTTTTGCGAACTCTGGATATTTGTTCTGCTCGCACGAAGGTTATTGGATCGCCACAAAAGTTTTCGTATTTCAGCTTATTACAAATTACTGCTTCATTATAGATTTTCTTCCTCTTTCCATAGTTTTAAAAACTAAAACTTAGTGAGATTCCAGACCATTCGATCGGTACTGCGCTTCCTGTGGAGCTCGACGGCTCATAATCTTCGACCAGATAAGACAGTGTAAGTGAGAAGTTTGCATTGTTAAACACTAGGGAAAGTTACCACATCTAGACATGTACTTCCGCTCACCATTCTTCATAGTCGGTCTGAGTGTCGCCATGGCAGGAGCCTGGATGGGTCTTCGATATATCCTCAAAGGCAGACTGCCAGCCCGAAGATGATGATTCGAACAGAAGATTTTGATAGGAAATAAGTAAAGAAAGCAAATAAAGGAATACATTTATTTGATTAGCGAAGATAATAAATCGACTAATCAAGAGATCTTTGAGATAACACACGATCTAAGCGTACCCCTCACCGACGAACTCTACGCAAAATTGTCTATATTGGTACAAGCAAGCACAGGAAGTATGGGACATGCTCATGAACAGGAAGGAAGACGGGTTGGGGGAACAATTGGAATGAACTACTCCATATTGAATTGAACAAGTTGACAGATGGCGGCATGCGATAGAATAGAACAAACATATAAATTACTTGCACTATTGAAACAATGCACCTGTTGAACTGTAATCATGAGTGAGATAGACAAGTAAGGATAGCATCAAGGAGGAGTTTCCATGGGATCGAAAAACTGACTGGTACTAGCGTAAAGTTGACGTAGAATTTGCTTGCAACTCGGTTGATCTTTCACCAGTTTCACTACAGTTCGGAACGTTGACACTGCTCTGCTTAACATCCATGCAGCGTTATGTCGGCCTTCCACCGCTTGCTGTAAAAATGCACAATATAAAGATACTCAAAACAGTCATCACTAAAACCACTGTCATCTATGATTACATATAGAATTCCAAAAAACATACAGAACAAACCTTTTCTTATGAAAAAATAGCACACTTGCCAAAATATTTTAAGAATTACCGTTATAAAGTTGATGAAATATGAGTTGAATTCCGATATACCACCGCGCATTTCGTGAGGAATCTGCGGCAGCAAGTCCTCGAGTGCTTTTTTCAAATATGTGACCTAAATAATACGCATTGAGATCCAAGGCGACCAAGTTCCATGCACATACCTTCATAGCAGTATCATGGTCCATGAGTGGAATATTGAAACAGTTGATATATACAACATCACGATTAAGCTGTTGTAAAGCCTAAGGTTACATGTCAAAGGAAAAATGCCATTAACCTAGACTGGAAGTAAGCATTTTTAAAAGTGTGTACCTGAGTGCGCACAAGTTGCTGCTGCATTTGTTGGTAAGCAGCCATAGGATTCATACCCAGATTCCCAAGACCACTGAATCCCGTAGCACCAAGTTGCCCTGCTCGCCCATAAGCGCTCATGTTCTAGAGATGAAATTTTAGTAAAGAACTTGAAATATGTGAACTGCTTTTATGTAACTTATCTCCAACAGACAACAACATTCTCAAGAGTTGACACCTACCTTATCGCGTTCGTAATCATCCCAAGCCTCCTTCAGTTCCTCTTCGGTTAGTTTTTCTTCTTCAACATGAGCGAACAAGGTGTCGTGTTGAAAGTAATCCACAACCGAATCCTTGTTGGACAGAAGAATTTCGGCAAGAAGACGATCCTACAAGAAATTTGAGGAGCATAAGTAATTCAATGTGCCATGCCATAATTACCTTAGGCGGGGCAAAACTTGGTCTTGATTGAGAATCATTTTCATCCAGTTCGTTAGGATTGAACCTAGAACACAATTTCGAAACATTCGAAAAAGTAGAGACGTCTAAAACGCACAAGTAAAGTTCTTCTAAATCATGGCCATCATAATGTCGTTGAATCTGAGCCTCGTCGACAACCCGCATTGAAGTTGATTCCTTTGTTACTTGCCGCTTGTAGATCCGTTCTTCCATTGTGCCCTTAACCGATAGACTCTTCCTCAAACTACTGACACAAAAATTCATAGGTAACCTACTTGTGCGATGAATCTATATATGTAGACCGGCTTAGTTTGACCAAATCGATAGACACGGAAAAGCGACTGTGTGTCATGAGATGGGTTCCAGCATGCATCAAAAATTATCACTCTATTTGCAGCGACCATGTTTGTTCCAAGCGAACCCGCGCGAGTGGATATCAACATCAATCTAAAAATGCCCTAGCATTTTAGATTGCTCAACTTTGATATCTTATCTTATCTATAAAGCTGAATGTGTGTCTGTCTGTCTGTCTGTCTGTACGTATGTGCGGAATAGAAATTTTTATTTCTGAACCGATTTGGACCAACTTGGCACACATACACTTCGGGGCAGGGAGCGTGTCATAGGCTACTTTTCATCATCGATCGATATCGATTTTATCGATTTTTTGCAAAATTTGAGCTACGGGGCTGGGAGTTGGCACAGGGGGTAATCGAGCATGCTGATTACAAATATGATAATGACAGGGCCGGGCGGAGCCGGGTTTGCCATCTAGTTGTACTCTAAAATTACCTTGCTCGTAAATTACTTGGATTGTTGAATTTTACTTGTACGGTGTCCCGTTTTCCTGATTGAACAGAACCATCGATAACCATGTAGTCGCGACCTTCTTTCCAACCCCACTTCTGGAAAAAAATATTCAATGAAAATAGAAAAAAATCGTAATTGACCTCTCCATCAGCTTTTATTGCTTCATGACCATCAGAAAACCATTGTCTGGTCTCGTCCAAATATTCTAGCGTTCTTTTGATCAAACCCAAGGATTCCAAAGACTGAGAGAAAACAAGCCTATAAGTAACCTTTCAAAGGTGAACGGAAGAGGAATTGCTGAAACAGATATTCAAAACCTACAATTTATCGCCAATTTCTTCACATTTTTTCAGGATCTGTATGAGAAGGACCAACTTGTTGCTCAGTGTAAAATCATCTCGATCAGAGGAAGAAACAAGACCACAGCGGGTGAACCTATAAATGTTTTGGCATGAAGCAAACATAAAAAAGCAAAAACAATAAAAATCTACTCTGATGTATGTCAACTATTACATACTGATCGTGATATTTATGCCAAAAACTGAGCTAATGTATGTAGCTTTTAAAAAATACCCACTATAAATAATGTTATCTCAGGATCTTACACATATTGATGAATCGAAATCATGCGATACCCTTAGGTTAATAAAACAGCAAAGCGGTTGAAAACTCAAACAGTATCAATTTTACACTGACCAGCCACTATACTCTGGAGGAGTTTCGACATCGCGACCTTCCATTTCAGGGTCTTCACCTTCAAGCCTTCGTGATTTTCTCGAAACAATCTTCTCATCTGCGGCAGATCGATTTTCATCGTCAGAAGACCTGAGACTCATCGAGTAAAATGATATACCGAAGTTTAAGAATGACTTACAGCACTACAACATCGCTTTCGCTATCGCTTTCTTTCGATTTTCCACGACCTTTCTTTTTCGGTCGCTTCTTAATCTTGACCTCTTCCTCTTCCTCTGATTCTGACTCAGATGTCGTTCCAGAGCCATCATCGATAAATTCTTCATCCTCCAAAGTCTCGTCGCGAAGCATGCGCTGTAATGATAGACTTAGTAAGTGCCCACACCCAAAAACACACACAGCTGGATGAGGATAGCACACAGTCATTTGAAAGTCACCAAAGAAACACTCACCTCTCTTTCCTGCTTCTGTTCATGGAGAATAAGCAGGTACGGATGAGTCCAGACCCGAGACAGAACATGGTAATCAGGCAGTAACCGTTTGGATAACCGTGAACCATCATTGACGACGCCTTCTAGGAAGGCCCTAAATTATTTATGTAATATCCTGTCACACTGAAAATGAATCAGATGTACAAACCTGTACAATGCACATTGGCGTGCAGTCAATCGCACATTGATCACATATTCCTGTTTCGGCGGTATAGCTTCCATCAAAACTCGGTAATCTTTGCGCTAAAAGCTTTTGACTGATTCTTCTGCACAAAAAATTATTCAAAATTGCAAATGACCGAGCGCGTCAGGGGAAAAAAGTAAGAGGTGATGAATAGCATCCCTTACATCGACACACTTCTTCAAATGCTCGAACAACACATGACATCGCCTTTTCATAAACTTCACTTCCAAGGGTGTAGCATCCTTTACGCGACCGCTGAAAATTGGAATGCTCCTCATTGGTCAGCAATAGCAACAAAAAAAGCAGACTTACCGCATGATAATATTAGCGAATCTATTGGCAAACTCTGTTTTTGTGCCCAAAAGTCCAGGTTTCACAAAATTTACCATGCAGTGATCTGTAAGGAGCTTCTTCATGTACCCACTTCCAAAAACAACTCGGTGGTCAGTTGAAGTCATGCGCAAGGCTTGAATCAATCCCCAACATGATCCCCACTCCTTGTAGTCAGAATGAACCATGAGAATTTGACCGGTACGCACCGCACTTTTATGTACCATTCCTTATAATGGAGTTGTAGGAAATACTCGACGAGATGCGTATTAGAAGGCAATCGCAAGCTAGGTAACTGGTACTTTCCAATGCTAATGTCTCCAAGACATATACAAGCAAAGAAAGAGGGGGAAACGAGAGCTCAGATTTTCGCGCTTGCTACTCCTGCAGCGTCAGAGCAGAAACAAGCACTTATCCGCTAATATGATAGTATATGAGAAGACAATCTCCCACCAAAAGTGTACAATAATAGAGCAAAAGTTAATGAAGTACCAACAGAACTAACATTCCATAAGATTGTTCTGCAAAGGTGTGCCTGTTAAACATATCCTCCTCCTCGTTCTTATTTTCACCATTGTTTTAGATAGAGCAGATTCGTCATTCTTCAGCTTGTGTGCTTCGTCGCACACGATTATGTCAGGACCTAAAAAGAAGATCTAGCTATGATGACAACAATTAAAAATAATTTATCTAGTCATTAGAAGAATGTTCTTGAAAGTTCATTTCAAAACAAAAAACATTGCCTTACCAGGATCTTGCAAATATTCTCTGAACTGTTCCTGCAGTTTCAATAGCCGTTTATTTCTTTTTGAAGGTGGCTTTTTAGGTGCACCCCGTTTCTTCTTGTTATCTTCATCGTCATGAGTCAAGATTCGAAACATATCATACCCTATGATCATCACGGAAGGAACTAAAACACTGGACTGAAATAACACACAAGGTTTAGATCAGTCAAAACGTGCCTTCACAGTGATACCAGTTTTTCAAAGCCAAATGCCGATCGTTGTATGTTTTGAAGGAGTCCAGCTCCATTACCTGATAATAACTGAGCATGATATATGATCCTTAGAGAAATAATTCAATATCAAGTAACATACATCTATGACGGCTAGATCGGGATCATTATCTTCAAGCCACTTTTGAAATTCTTTGAACCAGTTCAAGACCACATTCTTTGGAACTACCACTAGTACTCTTTTGCTATACTCCACGAGCTTAGGATGTGTCATTATCATATGAAGGAAAGTGATGACCTGAAACATGCGAAGACATGCAAACAAATCTTAGTCCAAAATTTTGCGAGGTATTCTCACCTGCAGTGTCTTTCCAAGTCCCATACAGTGGGCCAAAATACCACCTCCTCCTTCCTCCTCCAATCTGTCGAGGGATTCAAACGCACTGTCGTACATGAACTGCACTCCTTGAGCCTGGTGCGGCTTGAGAACTCGAACCTGATAACAAAAAAAATGTAATTCCTGCATAACAAAAAGGAACAAACATACCAAAGATGGATGAACTGAAACAGGAACCGGTGGATCGCCATTTTTATCTGGATCGACAACGACAGACTAAATACAAAAAAATGGCTAAAAACTACTTTTAAGTAAACGAATGGGTTAATACAGTGACTTTATGCGCACCTTCAGCTTTTGTACAGTCTTCGTACCACTGACGAGAGCAGAGGCTATATCGACACCTTCCATCAACTCGATTCCGTTAAATTCTTTCTGCTTCTGTTCCAGACGCTTCCTTCGCTCCTAACAATAACGCATAAATGGAAAAAAGGTTTGTGCAATGCAATACTGAATAAATGTAAGAAGAATCAACAAACTCTTTCGGCCTTTTCTGCATCTAATGTCTCCTTTTGCAACTTGTCGCTTCCCATTATACCCTTAGGTGCCCGTGTCAGTTTACCCTTCTTTTCCTTCGAAAGAACTTCATCATCGGAATCTTCTTCATCTGTGACTGTCTGCGAAAAAGGCACAAAAGTTATCTTGGTATTTCCTGAGTTCAGCAAACGATTTGTAGTTATACTCCTACCTTCCTTCTTTTTGACTTCGGTCTCTTGATTATAATTTCATCACTGTCATCATCCTCGCTATTATTTTCGTCTTCTGATTCGGATGATTCATGCACGCTCGCATCCGAATCAGATGATACAACTTTCCGCCTAGAACCGGATGTTGTGTTTACGCACAGATGCAACTGATAAAGCCAACATCAGACCATGCACTGATGTATTACCTACCTCTTATTCCCCTTTGCATGAGACTCCTTCTTGATGCTATCATCTTCACTTGAGGAAGAGCGGATGAGTCTCTGTGCAGACGATACCAGATCAGCTAACTCCTTCTGAAATGACTTTTCCCATAGAAGTTCGTCCTCATATAAGTTCAATGATAGACAATTCGCCACTCTCTTCAAACGTCTACAATGTGTTCTCTTCCTCACTTTTTACTGGATTGTGATTTTCAAAGAATTTAGAGCTTATTCGCCTACCACTGTAGACGTTCTGCTCGCCAACCTCTCACATAACAGAAACACACTTTTTGCCTCTTCCAACTCCGATCTGAAGTAGTAATAAAAAAGATTCCTTAATAGGCCCAATGGTATGCTGACACTATACTAACAATAAGATACACTTATACCAAAACCAGCAACAAATTTGGTGGTCATTCTCTGACCATGAGTTGATCTCAAAATCTTCTCTTCTATGTCTTACTCGCCCTAAACCAGGAAAAGGCTGCACCGGTTCAAGATCAAGCACCCGCTTGCGCCGACTCTGTCGAATTGACTGTGGCAGTAGTTTGAGGTAAGGGCTATGAGGCAAGTTCTTCACTTCGAATTCTACCATTCTCAGCACTTTTCAAGCCGCAAACACCCACAGAAATTATAGACTTCCATATTTTTAACCCTATCCAGGCCTCACGGATTGATTTTGATTACAGGACTAAAAAAGCGTGAATCCGTCCCAAGCCCTTTGAAGGCTTTCTCGATAACTGCGGCTTCATGCACGATCGAATGCATATTGTTAAGAAAGTTTCGATCTACTTTCGACAAGGTAGCGCCGCGCGGTAATCCACAATTCCTCGAAAAATGGCCTCAAAGAAAGAGATTTCAAGGGATTCACGCTTTTCAACTTTCATATGAAACTAGTGCTATGAAAAGACGTGGATAAAGCTAGGACTGATAATCAAGAATCAACCGGGACGCTGTCTGTAAGAAGAACGACGGCACTAGTCCAGAACGGCAGTCCGCACGCCGGCTTTAGAAATTGCACGAAGTGTCTTTTTGGAGAAGTGGTTAGCTTGAGGTGCTAGTTTGATGATAATAGTACACCAAAATTCAAATCAGCCCGGAGCTGTCTTCAGTGGTGCTAGTTCAGACTAGTAATTCACGAGGTCAGAGTTCAAGCTCTCTGAGAATGTTAGCGAATGTTGAATCTTAGCACCAGAAGGTCTGAATTAATATACAGATTCAAAGTCGAAAATCTGCCGCACTACTTTGGATGATAAGGTTGCATTGCATCTTGAATTTTTGCCAAAGCTACAAAACCACAATGCGTTCATTAACTGAAAAGCTGCAGCATGCAAGAGTTGCCAAGAGCAATATTAGTAGTGGCGACGAAAAAAAAAGACGCAGTAAATAAGGTTTACGAGCGGACCATTCTTTTAAAACATCACTTGAGAAGCCTCCGTTCATATCTAAACTGCCTGTCATAACCTGACAAAGACTCTGCAGTGCCATAGATATGCATCAAGACCTAATTCACTGTTTACTTTCTCTCGATATCTCTTAACGCAAAGAAGCATCCTAGTAAGAGTGGGGGGCCTCCACACTATGAATGCAGTTCTTGCCTCGTACAACTAGTAAACTCAGTCACTAGAATAATGCAAGAAAACAGATAACTTGTAGGAATCAAGTAATCCGAAAAGTGACGTGCACGTAAAAGTTGTACTACCTCTTTCTTCGACAATCTGTGACGCTTGACAACAGGTTCGTCCTCTGACGACGAATCACCACTCTTATCCAGTTCTTTAGACTTTTCTCCATTCTTTTTCACATCTTCATTCCTGAAGATGTAGATATCCTAGTAAGCGTGACGAATTCTTTGCACAAAAATAAGACAACCTACCTCTTCTCCTTCTCGGGTTTATCCTTCTTTAACCCACCGCGGCCTTTCTTCGAAATGGATGTACCATTGCACTTATTGCCAAGTTTTTCTGCTTTGAGTTCTTCCTTCGTATTAGCATTGGTAACCTAAAAACTAGCAAATGCTGGTATCATCTCATTAAAATATCCGGCAAAAAACCTCTTCTATTTCCTCATCCGAGTCGTCACCGTCTTCACTACGGACTCTGTCACCAGGTGTTTCATGAAGGAGAGCATCAGCATTTCGCAGAAGACGGTCCGCATCTTCGTCGGCAACAACATCGTCGCTTTTGTTTCTTTTTGGCCGCTTCTGTAAAGTGATCAGAGCAGTGTTGATTCAGTCGAAAACACGGGAAAACCTAAGCAAACAGGATTGTCAAAAGAGCGATAACACAGTGATGAACCAATGTTAGCATATAAGCAACCTTTGTCAACAATGATTGATCAGAAAAAGGGTAAAAAATTGGAAAGAGTCTGCTTGACTAGAAAGAAATGCAAAATTGGTTTTGTATTCAAAAAGAAGGGAGATCAAAACTCTACCTTCTTCTCCTTCGGTGGTTTACCCGAACGAGCGCGTTTTTCTTGCCTAATAAGTTCCTGCATTTCAAGATCCTCATCACTAACAACGTCTACGACCTCTTCGCTGAAAGAAGCAGAGTGCAATATTTCACACAAAAGGAATGAAATCGATGTTGGGATTAATTTATTCACTCTGTCATTTCTTCGTCATTCTCTGCATCTTCCACGACTTCCATTTTCGGTTTTTTTGCTGTGTCCTTTTTTAGGCCAATAGTCTCCGCGGCAAACACAACTCCTTTCAAAACAATATCACCAGTGTTGAGGATACGAACATCTGTCTCATCCACGTTATCAAATTTGATCTGAAAATGTGATTTGAGCAAAAAAATGGTGAATCTAGGTTATGCACAAACCAATTTTGGGCGAAATGAGCCCGTCTCAGCTAGGAGGTCTTCGCTACAAAGACTCGATGATGAGCCTTGTCGAGACAAAGACGGTGCAGTGGCACAAGCGGGAGCACAATCCTGAGACAACAGTGCTAACCTCAAATATTCTATAGAAACACTGAAAAAGATGATCAGGATAAGATGGAGATGGTGATAAAGCAGGATCAGATTTAGCAGGTCAAGTGGTGTACGGCAACGCGCCAAAAAGATTTGAACCAGACACGAAAGGGGACAGCGAGTGTGTGCGACACTGAGGAGTGTGAGATCGAAAACAACGCACAGACACAGCGTCTGCAATAGCGGAGCCTCAGCAGACCAGCAGAATCACTCACTGTGTGCAGCTAGCAATCGCGACTTTTTTGCATTAGCGCAATTCTCTCATTTTTGGAATAAGCAGGATGTTCAGGAAACCGCAAAGATGGTGAAACGAAGAAATACACTTTTTCCCGTCAACTTTTCCAACAAAATTTGGTTTGTTAAATTTTGCTGAGATGCAGATTTTCCCTATGTATGCCACAGCGAAGCGTAAATTTAAGTAAAATCCTCAATGTTGTTTTTTGGAGGTTCGATAACGTCTTTATGTGTTGGTATTATATACGGCTATTTTTCACTCTTTTTGCTGCTGCTGCAGCTTTTGCAAGAATAGTGGATGGACCTCTTCCAGTAGATCAAAATTTGTTTACATCTTCAATGTATAATATATAGATAATATAGATCCCACCTAACAGGATCGCAAGCAACATTCTATAACAAAAACGATACTGTTATCAGTTATCTGCTCTAGATGGACAAAAACACTACAAACTACAATGGAGAAGACAACGAAAGTTCTGTGCCAGTAGAACTTCAATCAATTGGAGGTATACAAAAACTTACATCTGCTGTTATCTCCATCGGTACGTTTTCGATGCGAAGACATGGCGCCAAATCTTCACTGTCACTTGCACTGCTGCTGATGACAATCCTCTTGATCTCTCCTTCTCCGCCTTGACTACCAATCTCGCTGATCTGCACACTTTCTTGAAGGCCGCTCTTTGAGGGTGTACCTCTTACATTTTCTGTATCTGAGGCACGAGAACAACTCGGCGAGGATGTATTTGAGTTTTCATGGCCACACCCCTGAAAGATCTTCACTGCCTGCGGTATTCATAAGTTTTTATTGATGAAACCAAGATCATAGACATAGATCTGCTTGCAGAAGATTACAGAATTCGTGTATTATTATTACACTGACCGCTTCTCTCTCCGGTGCTCTTGTCATTTCAGTTTGGGATTTGGATCCACTAGCGCGGGCCTCGCTGCAGTTATTTTCGTCCGAGGTATAGTCAAGAGTGATTAGTTCGTCTTCAGTAGCCGACGACGAAGCGGTTACCGCGTTGTGGTCGGAAAGGATTCTGAAAAGTTCTGAAAGATAAAAGAAGAAGCAATTTTGGTTAACGTGCCTGAAAGTTTCTGCAATGGGGAAAGCGCCGCTCCTTTATATAAATATTGCAAGACCCATCTCAAAACTAGGGACCTTTTTTCACCGCAGGGGATTCCGCACATGCGGACCTCCACAGACATAAAAACGTGCGCATCACCTACTCGTATTCACGTGCACGCCAATCATTGATATATAACCCATTTTTTTGTGACGTTTTTGATATGACTTGTCTGTCACTGAGAAATCCGCGCGCAGAGAAATACTGGATCATAATGCCGCTAAGCTTTCATCCACACTTCCTGGTAATGCACATTCGAGTCGTATAAGACAGTGTGAAGCCCCAAAGCAGACCGCGCGTAGTCGAGGAACAGAGCAGAAGAAACGTCAGACCCACGAAATAAAAATTCAAATTTCGCGCTCTCCGACTCTCATCACGGAAACTGAATACGGGCGCATCTAAGGGGCTTCCAATATGTAGCACGTCCATACTTGATGCGCTTGATCCATTTCATCCACTTCGCACAGTTCCAGCACAGCGCTCAGTTCGAGCGCTGTGCTGGAACTGTTCCCAAACTTCGGGATCAGCATCAACGCAGCCTTAGGTTTTTCGCCGCGTTCGCCCTCAGCGGGCACGCTATTTTCCCACGCTCGAAGATTGGGAAATAAAGGCTAAGCAGGACGAAGGCGCAGAAGCGGTAGTGGTTGAACGGGCGCGAACGAGGCGCACGCTTAGGGCCGCATGCACTAACATTTCCGCTGGGGAGGGGATCGCAGCTTCAGGAGAAAGCTTCATATCCTGAAGCTCCGGATATCTGGATTTCACGCTGTCTACCTGTCCGCAAGTACTCCCACTATCCTTCACTTTGAACATATTGAGCAGAAGCGAGAAGATGTACAAGCCGCATTTCCCAGCTTTTTGTAGGATCCCCTGATGATCCCTGGGGGACGAACATCTATTCTTCAAAGTCATTTTTCTTTCTCGAAGTTAACGAAAACCTTCCAAAGTTATACTGAACATCTAACGCAACAGTGCTAAGCATGTTGCTGATGAGAACAAATGAATTTTTGAAAAATCGAATATTTCGGTATACCCCAAATTTCGACCTGTGGATCATCGAAAATTTCATGACTTCAAAACATCATTTGTACCTATCAGCAACATGCTTAGCACTGTCGGGTTAGATAATCTGCATAACTTTGGAAGTTTTTCGTTAACTTCGGAGAAAGAAAAATGACTTTAAAGAAAAGCGCCGGGGATCATCAGGGATCGTACAGAAGCTGGGAAATGCGGTTTGTACAACTTCTCGCTCCTGTTCAACATGTTCATAGTGAAGGATAGTAGGAATACTTACGGATAGGTACACAATGTGAAATCCAAGTATCTGGAGTTTCGAAATATGAAGCTTTCTTTTAAGTTGCGATCCCCTCCCCGCGGCCATGTTAGTGCATGCGGCCCTTATTCTCAGGTAGGCACCAGACTAAGCGACTATTTTGTTTAGCTGCAAAAGGCGCACAGAATTAACTTTAATTTGCGCTCGATTGGGTGGAGGACATTAGGTCGCCGAAAAAGGGCGGTCCCCGCGGTCATTTGCGACAAATACGCACCCTTGTACATGCGCGGACATTATACTTGGGACCGAATCGAATGATTATTCGATTATTCGAATAAATCATTCGAATGCGAATCATTCGAAAAGTCGAATATTCGAAAATCTGAGATTTCGAATAAAATTCGAAAGTCGAATATTCGAAATTTTCTGTTTTCGAATATATTCGATATTCGAATATTCGAAAATTTCAACTTTCGAATATTATTCGAAAGTCGAATACTCGAAAAACTCAATTTTCGAATATCATTCGAAAGTCGAATATTCGATGGTCATCAATTCGATCATTCGATGGTCATCGAATATTTGAATCATTCGATGAACATCGAATATTCGAATATTCGATAAGATTCGATAATATTCGATAATTTAAATGATGAAACCAGAGCCCGGCGAAGATTGTATGGAAGCAATCTCGATTTGGTTATTGGGGCAAAAAAGCAAAAGGATATCATTCTTGTGACCAAAAATTGTGACGTTTTTTAGTCGACGTCTCTTCTTTTGAGGGTTTTTTACGTTTAGGGCTGACAGTCAAAGGGGATTTCGTTTTCAAGAAGCCTAGAAACGATCTCATGCTGGGCCTTGGATGGAACTCCTTAAGCCTAGCACGTCACTGTAGGAGTTTCTATCAATCTGCAACTCTCAATGGGGAGTATATATGCTTTGTGGTTCTGGCGCAGTAGTAGTCTATACAGTAATCGTGATGCACCATTTCTGTGGCAGATGTAGCTGCTATCAGTTTTTCGCTATCCAGGGACGCCAGATTTTGAGTTCTTAAACAGCGTCTATCAGTTCTTCATGAGCGTCACTGAGTAAACTTTAAAAAATTAAACTTAGAGTTCAAACGTTTAGATCCAACTTGACACGGCTTTATGACCCCAACGGGAAAAAGTGAAAAATGAGTACCATATTTTTGATCTGCGCACCGAACAACCTCCTAGACCAAGGTTTAACAAGATTTCAAAATTTTGTAGATACCGGGCATTACGATACCTCTGACATGCCTGCTGAAAGTACGAGCAAAATGTACTCCGGGGGACTTTTTAGCTGCATCTCTTCTTTTGTACACTATTTCTCTTACTCTGACCAAACTCAAATTTATCTTTGAGTTCCACGACAGACTGTAACGCCAACCAAACACAGAGTTATCGCAAACACAGTTGCGCGTTTGGTGGCGCTGTTTCTTGTGCAGAACGATTTCGACAATGTTTTTCTACTAGGGATAAATTACCGGTTACGGAGTCTCCTGCCATATATCGCCTTCTAGATTTGATCCATTCAACTGATGAAGGGGTAAGAAAGGTGCGAGTCAGCTCAGATATAACTCAGAGTTAAGTCAGAGTAACTGTGAGTTCCGACCAGATTACTACAGACCCTGCCTGAGGTCTAGAGCACGCTGTTCTTCATTCGCATTCGGAAAAGGTGATAGATGTGAACGGGAACGTGAAGATGTTCCTGATATCGTCGCAGCGTTACTTCCACTCGACATCGCAAATTGAGGGCGTATTCAAGATAATGCACTAGTGACCGGAAGGATAGTGTTGTGTCAAGAAGTTCGTCGTTTGTTGTAGTGCGAAAAAGGGATATGGTAGAACCAGTCATTGTTTAGTATTTCCAGCAGTGGTCTAGCTTATCGCATTGCCAACGAGAGGAAGATTGCTTATTGCCACGAGTTTCAAGTCGAAAGTTGTGGGTAAAGCACTTATACAGTTCAACAATGTGTATACTATATGTATGTGTATCGTGGAGTTGTCGACGGCACGGACTAGATGTAGAGAATCCGCGCAACGTGCTGAGATATACGTCATGTACTGCAGTGTAGTAGTCGCCTAAAAGGGAACTACAAAGACCTACAGTACTTGCAAACTATGCGCTTGGTCATGTTATCATATCACATGCACATTAATTTTTCGAATGATATTCGAAAATCGAATGTTATTCGAAGGTCGAATGATATTCGATATTCGAATGATATTCGATATTCGAATATTCGAAATTTCCGATTTTCGAATATTATTCGATAGTCGAATATTCGAAATTTTCGATTTACGAATATTATTCGATAGTCGAATATTCGAAATTTTCGATTTTCGAATATATTCGATAGTCGAATATTCGAAATTTTCGATTTTCAAATATTATTCGATAGTCGAATATTCGAAATTTTCAATTTTCGAATATATTCGATATTCGAATATTCGAAAGAAATTTCGAATTTCCCCAAGTATAGCGGACATGCGTTCCTGCAGGGAATCCGCGCGGGACTCTTCCAATTTCGGCGACCTAGTGTCCTCCACCCAAATATTCGCTTAGTCTGGCACCTATCTCACTGTTGTAAATCATGCGTCTCATGCGCTCTGCGGCTAATAAAACCGCGTTCGCGCCTAAAGATAAAGCGCCTTCGTCCATCAATGGTTGAAGAGCTTGGAAAAACGCCCCGAGACATGCTTGCGAACGCGTCGAGTGGCCTAAGCGAAACGGCTAGCTGACCCGAGCCAACCGTAACACTCAGGTTGAAAGTCTTTGCTTGCATTTAGTAATCCACATCATTTGCGTCGTTTGAGTCCAGATGTGAAAGCCTGTTAATCGCTCAACCACTTTCACCTTCCTTTATAAAGGAAAGTTCTACTTAATTTCTCGAATTCAGTTTGCAAGCTCTGATTCATTTTCAGATTGTTCTCGTCCCTTATCCCAAGAGGTTTGTAGTTCCCCTTGTAAGAACAGTTAGAAGGTTAGCGGTTGCGCCAATTTTCATCTTTCCTTATGGGGGTTTAGTGAACCGCAAATAAGTATTCGCTGAACACCTAGAGGCAGCGCGAAAGGAAGACAGAGAAGATATATCGAGGTCAGGGAGTCACCGAAAGGGCAGTATCAAACGCACGTACAGGGCTTTACAACCTGAGTGTCACAGCCGCCCCGCTCGGCCGCCACGCTTAGGTCCGCGCAGCGTTCGTGGCGCTGGCTGCGCGGACCTAAGCGTGGCGGCCGAGCGGGGCGGCTGTGACACTCAGGTTGTAAAGCCCTGTAGCTGCTTTGCAAAAGAGAGCACGTAGTTGTACACTTTGATCAAAGGGATTGGCGGCTGGAAAGCGGGGCGTCGAGGCCTAATCAAAGCTAGAGGATGATCAGAGGGCACGCTTGCAAGAGAGACGCAGATGGCATAGCGGGCGGGTGCGGTCGCCTTCCAGCTGCCAACCCCGTTGAATCGAAGGGTACAGTATTTTTCAACCCGGAGTAGGCAAATACATTCAGTGGAGTAGCGCGTCCGCACCTCCATTGGCTCAGCGAGATAGATTAAGATGAAGAGACGCAGAGTGCAAAGCGGCGCGAATCGTTGCGAAGCGGACTCCCGCCAGTCCAATTTCCGCCTAAACTGAGTTGAAACTTACTATATACAGGGTGTCCGTAAAAAATGTGCCTACTGTTTGATTGTGAATAACTCTCTTCTAGCGAAGTCTTTCGAGAAGCTTTAAGCACTATTTTGTAGAGCGAGGTTCAACTTAGATTTGCAGTATAGAGCGAATCGCCGAGCTCTTTTTATTACTGTAGGATTACGGTAGGAACTTCGACAAGGATTTTAGGTCTTTGGAGGCCATAATCTGCCTCGGAAAAACCAAACAAGCCGGAAATTCTTACACTATGGTAATGGAAGCCGCTCTTTTCGAATATGAAATTTCCACTTTGCTGTGGTGCCTCTTTCCTAACTTACCCCAGGTGAACCGTAATAATTGAATTTCCAGCATTTTTCGGAAATGTGATTACACCGTCAAAAAAGCTGAAAACACCCGTAAAAAGTTGTGTAGTGGAATCAGCGTGAGCGAAAACCCTAGTACACGATTTTTCAGACTCTTTGAAAAAAATTTTGTCAGGCGGCGTATTTCACGATGGTTCCATATGCTGAAAGTTCCTACCGTATTCCCACAATAATAAAACGAGCTCGGTGATTCGCTCTATACTGCAAATCTAAGTTGAACCTCGCTCTACAAAATGGTGCCTAAAGCTTCTCGAAAGACTTCGTTAGAAGAGAGTTATTCACAATCAAACAGTAGGCACATTTTTTACGGACACCCTGTATAAACTGTGTCCTGAAATCCTCCCATGGGTATCAAGCAAGCAAACTGCTACCACATGTTGGTAGAGAAGCACCAAGATTTTTATTCTTTCATACAATCTGTGTCAACTACGTGCTCTTTTCCGCGAAGAAACTACGCATTCGCAACGCCAAGATCTTGCGTGGGGACCTCCAATCGAAAAGGCCAATCCGAGTGCCCAAGCTATACGCGCGCAAACGTGACGCGACGCTCTGGCGCGACTGTTACGCCAGTGGAAAAGGGAGTACATGATTGACAAAGACTGTACATCGATATGAATGGCGTAGTGGTTTGGGGCACCGCTTATGGCCAGGTGGGATCAAGTCGCTTTCGCCCTGGGCCAACCTTCTACCCTCCAAAGACAGTAAATTTTCAAAGCAATTTGGGAGAATCAAAGCACAAATTGATAATAGGCTGATCCCTGCAAGTCACTCAGTCAGTCAGTCAGAAGTTTGACATTCAGTATCAATTCTCTTCATCTATGAAACAGATACGGTAGCATGCCCGCCTAGGGCATCATAGACTCCGGATTTTGTATCACACACACAGAATTTTTTTTTCGATTCCTACCATTCCGCACCAGAGAGTATCTTGCAACTCAAAATATTAGGTTGGTGCAAAAGTAATGGCCGATTTGCGAATTCTCACTTTGACGTGCTATAACTTTTTGAAAGATTCACATTTCCGAATGGGGGCAACGATCATCAAAGCAGCAAACCTTCTGCAATACAGCGCCCATTTATCTTTGATTCAATTGGTTTAGCTCCGTCAGGGCAGGCCGCTCGCGCCCGCGACGCACCTGCGTCTCTCGCGCGCGAGTGCTCTCTGATCATTACCTAGCCTTAATTAGGTCACGAAGCCCGCCTTTGCCGAAGCTCAACCAGTTGAATCAATTGTACTTATACTCATATCACGAACGGTCAGAAAAATATGGATTGAAAAACAAAAAAGGTTCTCCTGTTAGAACCTCTTTGACAATTCATAACTTCCTTCAAAGTTTGTTAGTATGAATGATGAGTGGTCTATCTTGTAGCCGCAAGCCAGTAGTACAAAATGCAATAAGAAGAATTCGGACAAAAAAGTTTGCGAGAAAGAAAAAATTAAAATCTAAAATTTCTCAGTTTTTTCAATATTTTTTCTGTGGCCTCAAACTCCCGAATTTTCTGAGCAGTGAACAGCTGGATGTTTTTGCAAAATGATGGGACTGCTAGCATTTCGCTTACATAATTGAGCAAAGTATTGTCGGATGACTTCTTCAAAAAAAATTTATGGATCATAAAATGACCGCAACGTCTACCAATGTTGAGAAGCCGATATCTCAGTCTGGATAACTTCAAAAAACACAGTCAAGTAGGCATAACGTGGACAATTCCTATGGCATACAATAGCTAAGTTTTCGAAATAGCGCCATCCATAGGCACCGGATTCCGGCCAGTAAAGTGAATGCAACAAAATTCCAAATTTGGATGCTGTTATTTGTAGCTCAGTAACTATATAAGAGATGAGAGTGAAAGCCCGCTTCAACCAGAATTAGATAGAGCATGAAAGCAGCTTCTCAGTGGTGTGCCCACATCAGTCCCAAAGGAGAAACTTTGATGGAAAAAAATTGGCCTGAAAAAAGGCTTGCAAAATCGGCCATTACTTTTGCACCAACCTAATACTAAACAACAGCAACAGCAACTATATGTTCGATAGTATCGTCGATCGTTGACCGCGGTTCCGATGGTGACCATCTCGATGTATCAACTGTTCGTCTAATCTTGAAAACGCGTGGGACCCGGAAACCACTTACTATACCCTCCACCATGCTTTTTTTCAAAAAGACCCTAGGCAAACTATATGTTTTCTAAAAGTGGAGAAAAACACTGTTTTAAAGACACCTTCCTTAGTGACGTTAAAATTCACTCAAACTGACCCATAACGACTTGTTTGGTCTAATCCTGCCTTCCTCCAATCCGCTATAATAGACGCACACTTCATCTCGGATTTCTTGTGGAGATCTTCGATCGCTTCGATACTACGGACGTTTTTTCGGACCAGGAGGTAAGGGGTTTTGTGACCAGCGTTTTTGATTTTCACCAGTTTCTTCCTTACCTGGAATCAGTATTATTTCGAAATATATTTCATATCAGTACGAAAAATTCATAAAGAAGAACGACTAGGAAGGAAAAGTGCATCGCTTGCTTTGCTATTTTTATCCTTGTGAACATTTTCATCTCAGGATGGGCCTCCACGTACGTACGACAACTTGTTAACTTTAGGTGTAACAGGTAAAGTACCACTGGACGCCAATGCGGAGCGGGAACACTCCCGACCATCATGACTTATAATAAGCGGCTTAATCTGAAGTTGTGTGGAGTTTGTCCGTTACGAAATTACAGTGACGAATGATTTACGATACTAAACATCATGTGAGGTTAAGATAGGGAGTATGGTTCATTTTTAACTACAGCTCACGTTGCAATAAACCGAACAATGATTTGAGAGACAAGCTCTCAGAAAGTGAGTTTACCAAGGTTCACGATGCCAGTGCGAACCTCTGCGAAGCAGAGGTGAAGCACTGGTATTTAAATACCAGTGCTTCACCGCTGCTTCGCAGAGGTTCGCACTGGCATCGTGAACCGTGGTAAACTCACTTTCTGAGAGCTTGTTCTCAAATCATTTCGGTTTATTGCAAAGTGAGCCGTAGTTAAAAATGAACCATACTCGCTATCTTAACCTCACATGATGTTTAGTATCGTAAATCATTCCTCACTATAATTTCGTAACGGACAAACTCCACACAACTTCAGATTAAGCCTCTTATTATAAGTCATGATATTCATGGAGTTCTCTAGTTGAAAAGCGCTACAAGTACACTAGTACACACTCAACAGAGATACAGTGATGAGGTGCAGGCTTTCTGTTCCCTAAATAACTTGGAAGGTGCATGCTGGTATGACCATTCTAAACTTCCACAATTCTTTTCCCAGCTTCTCATCCAAATCTGGATATTTTGAGCAATGTTTAAACTGAGATACATAAATGCAGCGAGATTCTAAATATATCAAAAAGGGTAGTGATTTTTAAGACAAAGGTCACTTATTCACTCAATGAGGTTAACTTTTTGCATTTTATAGATAAAAAGAAGATGGGCACATACAAGGAGCTTGTCTGGAGGTGAAAAACCAGGAGGAAACAGGTAGGTTTCTCATTTCAAAACCACCCCTCAAGTGCGGACTTCCCTCTGTGTCATAATCACTCGCACTTTGCATCAAATCTAAATCAAATCAAATTCAATAATGGCATTCCCTCACAATCAGACTCCCAGTTAGACGCCCTTTTCCTTGACCCGGATTTGATGCATGGTGGAAAGTTGACAGTCACAGAACCATGAAATTTTAAGTAGAAACAAAGAAAGATATTACCGTTTAGAATGAAAATTATATAAAAAGGAGGAAAAGAAGAGATGCGAATAAACTTCAAGAACTCACTCGTGAAACAGCTTCTAGTTCCTCAAACAACAGTGCTTCGTATGCTAGTAGTCCGCTGAGAACCTGATCTGTAGCCACTTCTGGATCCAGACTACTCACTTCCTCATCACTAGAAAAGAGATAAAAAGGAATGATAAAAAGTCATCCACTGATTGCTCTATAAGGAAAGTCTCCTAAAACTACATAATTCTATGACTCATATGGACTCCCCTATATTGTCAGTCTGTTTACCATAGGTTAACGACCCCTCGCTACCTTTCACACCATTCAAAAATATGAAAATCAGTGATGTCATAAGACTGTAGGAGTGCGAACCTTGGAACAGAGAGCAGTTGAAGTGCGCTGATTGGGCTATCTCCCATTCTCCAATTTGAGCATTAGCAAATCTTTCTCCACGCCAACCTCTGCAAATAATGTGATTTTACCGCGAACAATAACTCATCTCGCTAAGGTGAGCGAGAAGAATTCACATTGTTAGAATCATAGGCGAAAAAGCACAGAATACTGATACGGAAGTAAGATTAGCACTTTCTTAGCTAAATCAGGGTAGCAAAAAGTGTGCACGAAAGGAGGTTGACAGAAAGCAAAAGCAGTGTTCCATTGATGTACCACATTTGATGCAATTTTTGTTTGCTTTATGATAATTACACGAAATGGAACATACTGCGGCAAACTGTCTCTGTGGTTATTTTTACCTACACCTAGAAGAACTTTTCTGAAATGTACAGTACTCACATATCTGCATTTTTTATGTGCTGAAAGGGACTATGCATACTCGCTCAAACCAATACCTCATATAAAATGGGCCCTGAGTATTTTTTATTCAAATAATGCACTGCATAGACCGACCCGTTTGCACGTGTTTTGACGTGTTTGCTGCTTCCATATGTCAGCTGCTAAAGACGGAGGTCAGATGCATGGCAAAGCGGATGCATGCATTTGACCCAAACCGACCACTGAACGATGGAATTCACAATACCTCAGATGTGTAGGAAAAGAGCAGCGTAGATTGCCGTAGCCTGTTTTTCAGTGAAAAAAACTTCCAGATGAGTGCGGTTTTGAGAGCGAGTCTCGTCTACTCACAGGTTCGTGTTATCCTTGTGGTTTCTCACTAGATGCAGCGTGAACAGTCTCTGCCACTGACCTTTATGAAGCATATATGATGCTTCACGTGTCACCTTGTTACTCGAATTTACTACATTTATAGCTGAGCTGAAGATCCGTGCGAGTCAGTTCGACGGCCAATCCCACGCATATCTCGCATGAGTTGCACACGATTTGACGACTTGTTAGGCTTCGGGCATACTTTACGCGATTTCAGTCGCGCAGCGTTCTGGCAATTTGCCAGATGTCTTCAGATGGAAAATTGCAGGTTAAAAATGCACAGTGTGTATAACTTTCGCAGCTTGGTAAAAATGCTTTTTTTTGTACATCTAAACGCACACGATAAGCTATAGACGATTGAAGTATTGCCAAATCGCGTCGAGATTATCGCGTGAAGTATGCCCGGGGAAGGCCTCCGCAGACTGCAGATGCACAGTAAATACGTCTTATCTCCAGTATATTAGAAATGCACATGTAATGTATGAGCAAATGAAGTAATGTCAAATCACGTGACGACTGCAATTGCATGAAGTAATACTCCCAGGGCCTCAGGCATTATTCCCCAAAAATTCCACTTGTATCCGAAGATACATAGAGAAGAGAAAAGACAGGTCCCTTGTAATTGCTACTTTTTGCCATTTTACACCTCACCAATTCCCAAGTCATTTTGACTGACAAAGTAGCGAGAAAAACGAGGTTTGACGAGAAATGGAGGAGGACGTGCTTGCGGACGTGGTCCAGAAACGCGCTCTTGCGGACGAGTTGGCCTGCATGGCAAATTCGAAAAAATGCGGAATAAATTGACATCGCATTTGCATTGAAGTTCATTCATTTCCTGCTCATTGAACACTTCCAGTCAAGTGATACATCTGCAATTCTGAGCATCTTTAACGTGAGTGTATCTGCTTACAAGGAATTTCTTGATTTTATTCCGGATCCCATGCCTTTGTTCTTTATCACTAGTTTCAACATATTTTGCGTCGCTGTCTATCCGGTTTTCGTGATCTGATGCCGTTTGTAGCGGGTCGAATATTTAACAAAGAGTTTTGCTTGCAGAAAATGAGCAAAACACATCCGCCAGAGTTGAAGAAATATATGGATAAGGAGATGGACTTGAAGCTCAATGGTAATCGTCGTGTATCAGGTGTTCTTAGAGGCTTCGATCCTTTCATGAACATGGTTATCGAGGTTAGAGTTTTGTCTGTCAACATTTTTGGCTTTGAAGTGAATCAAGAGATGATTCTAACGAAAATGGCCCATTGTTTTTTGCGGAATCTAGGACTTCAGTCAGTCCATCCATTACCTAAAGGATTTCATTCAGTCTACAGCTATTTTCTGGTCTTACAAATCAAACAGCGTAATCAATGTAATGACAGCCTATGATCTGAAAGATTTGGAGCCCTCATACTCCAAACTTCTTCTTTAACCAAACCCGGAGTAGACTAAAGGTTTTCGTGAGCCTTTTGAAAGACTAACTGACTGAAAGCGAATATTACACCGTTTTAAGGACAGAGCATGAGTCAGTTTGTCTAGATTTGCATAAATCTCCAATTCAGGACGCTATTGAATACCCAAAAAACGGTGATCCTGTGTCTCTCGGAATGGTAGTAATTCGCGGCAATTCGGTCGTAATCATGGAACCGAAAGAGAGGATTTCCTGAATTTTCAAACTTGATCCTGACAATTTGTTCTCATTTTATATGTATCATATGCTTATCTAATTCGTTGTTTGTTATCCACGAAGGCTCAGTAAATTCTTTTAAGTGAATTCATCGGAGAATTGCTTGAGAGCATCTGCTTCAGAGATTTGAGGAGTCGCACAAGTGTTCTGGCAGAAAATCCTTTTCTACGCTGCAGATTCACAATGAAAGGTCGTTGAGACGTCCTGTGACTTAAAGGCACCGTCCACCCAAAGCGAGATTGATGAGATTTCGGTGGAATACTAGTGTGGGCCCCCACACTAGTATGCCACCGTAATCTCATCAACTTCGCTTTGGGTGGACGGTGCCTTTAAAGCAGTTAGCGTTGCCTTAGTCAACATCTAATTTCCGTCTTGCGTCGTAATCAATTGACTGTGAGCAAAGCCGTTACATAAAAAGTCAGAATTGTATCGTTGTTTACGCTGAGTAACTTTTTGCTAGCTAAGAAACTTGTTCTTTATAATATCTTTCCGAGACAAATACATAGATGCGATGGGGTGAGCAAATGCTCACCCCCCCCCCCTTCACTTTGTAGGTCGGACCACCCCTCCCCCTTCACCTGACGGACGAAAAATTTTTTTGAAGGTGAGGAATTACTGCACAATTACAAAAATATCAATCAACAAATGCATTTTAGAAGGATCGAACGCAAAATCTTATAAAAATGATTTCGACCGACAATAACATGGGCAGCGGGCAATGACAGTTATTTTAGAGGCCTGAAAGGCGCTGATGGACAGATTTACCTGGAGAATATTGATGTGAATGATGTTAATAAAAGCTTGCATTGATCATGAATTTTTATTTTTTTTTTGCAAATAAATTTTTATGTCGGTATTTATGTAGTACAATAAAAGAATTTGTTGTTCATTTGTGTTCGCTTAAAGCTTGATAAAGATACAGAGTCCAGAACAATGATAAAAATAGTACAAATGATGTCAGGAGAAATTTTTAGGGCAGTACAGTTGCAGTCACAATGTTGGCCACATTTAGGCCCGTATGCACGTACATCCCCGCGGGGAGGGGAGGGGATCTGAGAGGGGAAGCGTCATAACTCGCTAGTCTATGTATCTTTCTTCTTCTTTCTCTGTCTTGGTTTTGAAGGTTCTCATACACTGATACTTGCGCATAACGTATGCCAGATTACTGCCATACACGATAAGATATTCACTATTTCGTCTGATCCCCTGGGATCCCCAGGGGATCGGAAGAAATAGTGAATATCTTATCTTGTATGGCAGTAACCTGGCATCCGTTATGCGTAAGTATCAGTGTATGAGAACCTTCAAAACCAAGACAGAGAAAGAAGAAGAAAGATACATAGACTAGCGAGTTATGACGCTTCCCCTCTCAGATCCCCTCCTCTCCCCGCGGGGATGTACGTGCATACGGGCCTTAAGAAAAGTCAGTTTTTGAGTCAGTATAACTTGAGTAAGTTGCAGAATGTCATCTTGCGAAAGTAGAGGCGTTAATAAGGAACCTTTCCTCTATCACAGAGAAAAAAAAAGTAGATCCTAAAAAGTATTCCTCTTAGAGTTATGAAGTCGCAAATAGAGCAGAAATCACGTCTCCGAAAATCGATTTTTCTCAAATAACTTGTGTGTATGTGAACGAATTTGAGTGGGAAGGGTATAGGTAGATTGTACTCATCAAGAGCTCTCGACTGATATATAGCCTGTGGGGGTCCTATGTTTTTTAAGCCCTGCGAGGGGGGGGGGTGATCGGCCTCAGTTCAGGGTGATCACCCCCCGCCACCTTAATGCATTGGAGAGGCGCCGGCAGGTGATCACCCTGAACTGAGCCCGATCACCCCCCCCCCCCCTTCCCGCAACCCGAAAGCATTAAACCCCCACATGTTATAAATCATTTCGAAAGCACTTGAGGAGACGAATCCAACTATCGTCTGCGCCCCAGAGAGGTTCCCATAGGTACCACGTCATCTCGCTGCTTTTCGCGCTTTTGAACGTGTTAACCTCGGGCAGTTCCGTTGAAATCCCAGGAGAAACGTGTCAAAAAGAGCGAAAGGCAGCGTCGCACCACGTACGCACGCTGGTTCACATGGGAATCTCTCTGGGGGCGCAGACGGTATGCTATTCCCGTTTTGACTTATTTACTGGCTGGCTTACCCGGCTCCGCCGTATGTTCCGAATAGAAAATTCCATTTCTTAACCGATCCGGACCAAACTTGGCACACATACACTTCGGGCCCCGGCGGCTTTTGACTTATTTACTTACTGGCTGGCTTACCCGGCTCCGCCGTATGTTCCGAATAGAAAATTCCATTTCTTAACCGATCCGGACCAAACTTGGCACACATACACTTCGGGCCCCGGCGGGTGTCATAGGCTACTATCGACATCGATCGATAACGAAAAGTAGCCTATGACACCCGCCGGGGCCCGAAATGTGTGTGTGCTAACAAGGAAACGGTCAGAAGTCGAAGTGGCCAAACCAAACAAGCTGTACACCATTCGATGCAGTATAAAACGCCGACTTCGAATCTGTCTTCCTTATCTGCTTCCCGCTTCTGTGGACGAAGCTACAAGCGGTTTTATTGTGAAAAAATCATACATAAAAACAGCGAAATAAAGCACATTGTTGCGCTTTTAGCTCAGCTTCTGGCTTCAAAAATTTTAAGTAAGCTAGCGACATGTTTTGGCCGAGCATTGAGGCAAACGCGGCTCTGTACGGCTAAATTTTCAATTTCACGCATGATTTCTTAGCAAAATAATGGTCTTTAATGGCTTATAGCTTCGTACAGAAAAGCGATAAGCAGGTAAGGAAGACAGATTTAGAGCCAGCGCTTCATGCTGCATCTAACGGTATGCAGCTTGTCTGGAATGGCCACTTCGATTTTTGACCATTCCCTTGTAAGTTTGGTCCCGATCGGTTCAGAAATGGAATTTTCTATTCGGAACATACGTACACACAGACATACAGACATACATACATACAGACAAACAGACATTCGGCTTTATATATAATAAAAGTTATATTAAAAAAATCGTTTTTGATGGGTTTATTTGCAGCTTCATATCTCGGCGATGGGGGCATTTCATGCTTCAGTTTTTTCTGCGTCGTACAGAGGGAGGTTTAGTGAGTCTTACCTATACCCTCGCAGAAAGATCGCACATACTGAAGGAGAGTTACAGCAAGGAATAAAGGCGCTTGAAAAACACAGGTAAATTTGGAATTTATGTCAGTCGTTCCCGTGGAATGTCTTTGCTAGGGTATAGGTAATACTAAATGGACCTTCCTCTTGAAGATGCAAAAAAAATTAAATCATGAAATGCCCCCACTGTGGAGATATGGGGCTCTGACGTGAGGGGGGGTACCGTTGGATCTCTGGAAACTATCTCACCTGGCAAAGATATTGAACCTCACAATTTATATATCGTAGTGTAGCTTTTGAAGGCCAGGAATCGAATTTAGTTCAAAATTGGCTTTAGCTCATTCATACAATAGTTATACTGGAAAGCGATCTACTGCAAGTTACTTATGTTAGCAAAACTGACCTTGCTCAATTATCGTCAACATCGTAGTTCAACTTTACTGCGCTAAGAATTTCTCCTGACATCAATTATACTAGTCTTATCACTGTGCTCATTGTGTATGTTTATCCTGCTTCAAGTGGAACATTGAGCAGCAAATTTTTTTAATTGTATTCTATAAATACCGACTTAAGGATTTATTAGCAACAATAATTCCTAATCATCGAGGTCTCTTATTAACATTATCCACATTTGTAAGTTCCAAGTGAAAGTTCATTCAGCACCTTCCAAGCCTCGAATATCTGCCACTGTCCATTGCAATTTTCGATCGAAATCACGTTTACAACATTACACGTTCCACCCACCTAAACATGCATTTTCTCACCGAAAAGTGGGTATCAAAATGAAATAATTTTTATTTGAGAGCAGTACTTATAAAATAAACATTTCACTAATTATATTTCATACAAATCCAATTTAGAAAATTTGACCATTTATTATGCTGGATAATTTTATAATTTTCACCATTTTTTTACCATTTTTTCGATCCCCCCGGTCAACGTTTGGAATTTTTTCAATTTCCTCCCCCCCCCCCGTCGACGCCGGTACTTTTCAGAACCCTTCACTTTTGAGGGTCAAAATCAGCTGGGACACCCTTCACTTTGGAGGGACCCCAATCACCCCATCGCACCTATGGACAAATATAAACTTGGGAGCACCGCTCACCGATCTTCATACTCGGCTCAGTACGCGTTGCGACTCAAAAGCGACGCGTGCATCCTATACTCATTTCATTGAGCATGAGAGACGATGGGAAGCGTTTAACAAACGTTTTTTCGGCGCTTAAATTTCGTCCTGGCTCCATTCGGAGAAGAGTTCGCCAAGCAAATTCAACGTTTGCCTCATAATTTTGTAATAGATGGTAAAGAGAAAATTAATCTACTCATCACAACTATGGATTAAACATTGAGATCTAGCAGGCAGTAAGGTAAAGATCTGTGCAGTGAAGATAGGTGTATGTCCAAACAGGCAAAAATTTGTCTCCTTCATTGATTCTCCGTTTCCTATCGTTAGAGAGATAGAACACGGGTAGAAAAGAACATTGCGTCTGTTGCAAAAAATAGACCTTTTTTGCGCGGTGCGGATTAGACTTACTCTTTAGTGCAAAGTAAGACTCCATGGTTGATCAGAAAGGATTGCAGTATGGTTTGCAAAATAGAGCAGTGACTCGACCTAGACACATGCTTGCAATCAGGGGGATGTGATCTCAGCGCTGATTTCAAATTTCTCGCTAAGTTCATAGCTTCATTCCGGAACAGAGTATCAACGTTAAGTAACATCAAGCCAAAACTATGAATCTTACATGTTGCTAAATGCGGTTTCAGGTGCTACCTTCCTATCAAACGAGAGTATCGCACTACCAAGTCACGGTAATCTCTTCAAATGCCGATGGAATACCTTTCGTGAAATTTTACTACTGTAAACCCATCGCAAGTATAATCAAAATAATCAGAACTTGTGGGTTCTGATTGACACTCCATTGTTTGAAAATGACTAGTAAAGGGTTTTGGATTCGGAGGTCGCTTGAAGCTGTTTGGGTGTGTTTTCCCTGGCAGGATCAAAATCACAGATCAATCTGAAATCTGGTCTAAGAGGGTTATCTGGCATGCTAAACACGAATACTATATTTTTCTGCATAATAATTGTGAAGTTCTGGTAGGTATACGGCAGTGGCGTACCGAGGGGGGGGGGACGGGGGGGCGCGCCCACCCCCCCCCCGAGAAGGGGTCGCGAAATTTTTGAAAGCTACTTATATGGGTTATGAAAATGTGCAAGTGACTTGTTTATTTTTGTAAATAATTAAAATAATTTTTAAAATTTTTTAAAAATTCAAATTAGCCTTGTAAAAATTTTTTTTTCGGGGGCGTGGCTGACGCCACGCCCCCTTTTTCCGGATTTTAGGGGTCGGGGACCCGCAAAAATTTTGATAAGCACCCCAAAAAATTTTTCGGAGTGCGTGGCTAACGCCACGCACCTTCATTAGAAAATTTTTTTTGTCGCGCCCCCCCCCCCCCCCGAGCCGAAATCCTGGGTACGCCACTGGTATACGGTATGGGGTCAAAATCGTAGATTTGCCTCCAACCTTGTCCTCTTGAGCAGATGTGCCGTGCGGCGATTACAAAGCTATGAACAGTGGAATGGGAACTAGCATATTGATGCTAAATGTTCTTGCATATTTGCGCTCATATGCAAAAGCGCACTTCATTGATGAGCGCTCACATCAACGCGGGCGGCGACGCATGCTGAACCGAATATGAAGGGCGGCGGGGCCGGCCCCCAAACATGGCACACTCTTTTTACTTAGATTAGTGGTCCGTCTTCACATGACGGCCCCAAAAGAGAAGTTTCCTTTCCCTGTCACTCACTTCAGACATCCAAGATCTCGGTTGGCGGGTGGCTGCCTCCACGAGTTCCACCTGCGGAAATCGTACTCAGCTATTTCTCAGTTGGTCCATCCGTTCCTCGAACACTCCTGCCATCTTCTCAGATAATCGCGGGGGGCAGGCGGTTCGCAAACTCGCTTTTTCTTGCAGGCGGTCAGCAGAATTTTGGGGCGTGGCCAAACCTTCAGCGAGCGGTACATCCTTTACTGTCTAATGTTCTGCCAGCGGGCAGCGACACAGGATTTTCTGCGGGCGCTCGTCAAATAATCTCTTTCAGCAACGCTGGCCGAGCTTTCAGCAGGCGCTCGGACTCTTTTTACGCAGTTTCGAGCTTACGTCGACAGGTAAGAATCTGGGTGGCAGAGGTGTCACCGTTGCTTTAATTACTCAAGTTTGAGATACTTTCTCTCAGCGGAAAGTACCTGGGGGCTGCGCGGTCCTCCACAAGGGTCCGTGCGGCCCTCGAAATTTTTGAAATTCTCGCGGAAAGTCCGCGAGAATGCGGCCAATGCGCCGTAACTAATCTATAAGGAAACCGCAATTGTTCTCCAAGCATTCCCCCAAAATTTCGCTAAAATTCTTTTCAAATATCTGCAAGCGGACCGCAAGAAATCAGCGAACTATTTCTCCGGTGCCCGCCCGCCCATAAATCGCATGGCCGCATGCACCCGCGTTTATCTGAGTGGTTGTTAGGTCTCTATATCCCGATTTTGCAAGGCTAAAGTCAGGCTTTCCATCTATTCCGCCACTCCATCACATATCTAAACTAAATCTATTGCCAAACAGGGTGTTTGTTCGGGTGGGCAGTCTCAAAGTCTCGATAGATCTCAATATATCTTTCAGGAACCTTGATGAAGGCGGACGGACCGCCAAGTTGGCTTATCGAGTAATAAAGTCTTGCTATCAACCGCGGTCGACAGCTTAAAAACTGTATCACTACTTGAATCACAATGCCAAGGTTTATCGACAATCGAGCACGAGATATCAATTTCCTTTAAGTGCTTCACCATTGTCGCTGTATCTCCCATGGCTTTCTTTTAGGTTTCTTTTTGCCTTCAGCAACGTCCACAGCAGAGAGAATCTGTAAGCATTGAAGTAATCTACAGTCAGTAAGTCTAAGGAGTAAAATCGCAAACTAAATCATGTCTTGTTTGGTCAACATACCACCGAGATGATAAGGAACAAGAAGGTAAGGTTGAAAATTCTCATTCTTGTCGAACTGACGTAAACTCTCTGGAAAAAAATACTTTGAGAAAGTAAGCGGTACATAGAGGGGTTGATAAAACGACGAATAAAGAAACTTGTACACAATTTGACAGAGAAATAGATGATTTTTTGAGTGCAAGAGGAATTACGAGGTTATAATCTAATATATAAAGCTGAATGTCTGTTTGTATGTATGTATGTCTGTCTGTCTGTCTGTCTGTCTGTATGTGTGTACGTATGTTCCGAATAGAAAATTCCATTTCTACACCGATCGGGACCAAACTTGGCACACATACACTTCGGGCCCCGGCGGGTGTCATAGGCTACTTTTCGTATCGATCGATATCGATTTTATCGATTTTTTGCAAAATTTGAGCTACGGGGCTGGGAGTTGGCACAGGGGGGTAAGTGAGTATGGGGATTCCGAATACAATATTAGTTTTTAAAATCGTGCATTACTTTTATCGATTTTATTGATTTTTTGCAAAGTTTGAGCTACGGGGCGGAGCCGGGTAAGCCAGCTAGTAACTTTGATTTTTATGCTATGTAATTCCTAAGCATTTGTAAGAGACAATATCGCAGATTATGTCAAAAATAAAACCTCGTAATAATGTGCACAATATACACAACTCTATCTTCACTAAAGCTTGCTATTCCACGATATACGTGTCCCAAAAATTTGCAAACAGTTTCATCGTTGACCTCACTAGCTTTCATGCCGTGTTTGTCATACCCTTGATAACGCTCAAACTCGCAAAAATGTATGGTAGTATCAGCAAGCGTGAAAACCCTACCACGCAGTTTTTCTAACTTTCAATGAAATTTTGGCAGACGGCTTTTTCCAAAGTGATTTTATTAGGTTGTCCCAAAAGTATTATTTTATTTTATATTATTTAGTATTTTCAGATAAATCAAAGTGTTTTTGTTTTCTTGCAGACCGAGGGTACATTCGATAAAGCGAAGCAAACTCTACAAGAAATCGTCAAAGATACTAGGCTCCTTCAAGTTCTGTCCGATTTTCATTTACATGTTTCAACGCAGCTATTTTCTTAGGGGTTGCACTACTGACATTGTCATGAACATCATCTAGAAGTACTTTTCCTGCTCTTTCTACCGCTTGGTGTTGCCTTGCGAATCAACTTTCCAGTGATGAAACTTGAAGCCCCCAAGCAAAGTTGCCAAAATGCAGTCATGCCCAAGAAAGAGTTTCAATGAAGAAAACTTCGGCAGTATTCGTATGACTAAACGATGTTCAATGTTATATATAAAGCTGAATGTCTGTTTGTACCGTCTGTGCCCCAGAGAGGTTCCCATGTGAACCAGCGTGCGTACGTGGTGTGACGCTGCCTTTCGCTCTTTTTGACACGTTTCTCCTGAGATTTCAATGGAACTGCCCGAGGTTAACACGTTCAAAAGAGCAGACAGCAGCAAGATGACGTGGGAATACGGGAATCTTGCTGGGGAACAAACGATATGTCTGCATGTCTGTATGTCTGTTGTATGTACGTATGTTCCGAATAGAAAATTCCACTTCCTAACCGATCCGGACCAAACTTGGTACACATACACTTCGGGCCTCGGCGTGTCATAGGCTACTTTTCACCGATCGATATCGATTTTATCGATTTTTTTTGCAAAGTTTGAGCTAGGACTGGGAGTTTGCACAGGGGGCGAATCGAGCATGGGGATTCCGAATACAATATTAGTTCTCAGGATTATCGATCACTTTTATCGATTTTATCTATTTTTTTGTAAAGTTTGAGCTGCGGGGCTGGGATTTGGCATAGGGGGGTAATCGAGCATGCTGATTACGAGTTGATATTAGTCTGGCGCTATTCGACTATCCGGGCCCCAACATTTTTTTGTGGTAGAGCTTGCTCAAACTTCGTGTATAAGGGTTATCTTAAGGGCCGGGCATACTTCAAGCGATTTCAATCGCGACGCGATTTGGCAATATTCCAGGTGTCCCTAACTCATTGTAAGCACATTATGAATGTACAGAAGATAAGGTATTTCATCAGTTTACGTAATTTATACACACTATGTTTGTGTAGTTTGCTAATGTTGGATCCAAAGACTTGTGGCGAATTGCCGAATCTCGTCGCGACTGAAATCGCGTGAAGTATGCCCGGCCCTTCATATGCTGATTACAGATATCACACTTTCTCCGCAGAACTTCTCCCGTGTGGTTACGATAGGTGTACGGTAGGAAGCCAAAATCATATTCGGCTGGAGTTCGGTCCATATGGTTATTCGACATGCTGATTACGAATATCACACTTTCTCTGCATATTGGGACCTTTTCATAGAGTTGTGGTGGTTATATGGCATGAGGTCGAAAACATAGATTTGCTTTAAACTTCGTCTAGGGTGGTCATTTAGCGCGCTGAACATGAATACCATACTGATTTCGCAGGATAGTGCATTTTCTTGGGTTACGGTGGTTGTAGATGGGTCGAAGTTCCAGATTTGCTCAAAACCTTACCTGTAACGGTTCACAAGTATATCGCTTATGAATATGATGCTTGCTCGCTGTCATAACGCAATAGTGAAGTTATGGTGACATTTTTTCGCTTTCGGGCCAATTTAAATCCCAGATATTCAAGAGATGGAGAAACGGTGGTTTTGCATGGCGGTCTCCAGTGCCACCTAACCTGTCCCAACGCGTAACGCACGCGGCAAATCTTCCTCCCCCTGTTTTTGCTTAACAGGAAAGGTATATGACTCGCAATGGAGTTTCCCTATGAGTCGTATATCATTCGAAAGAGTGCTGATTTCAAAACAAACTTCCCTATCTGCTTATCGGTTTACTGAACAAATTTACAGGCATTTGTTTGGCTTCAAAGGACGCTGTTTTTTGTTGCTTTTTGCAGAACTAAGGCAGAGTAGCTCCAAAACTATTCGCATCAATTTTTTATGTACAATAAATTTAGACAGACATTTAGGCGTGTAACTTTGGACAAAATTCGCAATTATTACAAATTTAGATCATTTACACAGTACCTGACCATACAAACTGGAAGCGGAAAATTGCCTGTAACTTTGTTCAGTAAACCGATAAGCAGATAAGGAAATCTGTTTTGAATCAACACACAAAGACCTTTCGAATGATATCTATCTCATAGGGAAACTCCACTGCGAATCATATACCTTCCCTTGTTAGGCAAAAGCCGCCGAAGGGTGTCTCGCGCGCGGCAGTGGTCGTATATGGGAAAGCATTACGGTCTTGGGAAACTTTTATACCACACGAATTGCCTTTTTGAAACAGCAGTTTAGGTAATTTTCTGCCAAGGTTTGGGCAGGTTCATGAATTCTTTGCCCGCTGCCATGTACCTACCGTAACTCTGCGAAAATGTCTCAAAACGCAACGATAGTGTTTTAGACGTGGTCAGAAAGTCGAATCTCTCTAGACCGAGTTTCAGCCAAAACTGAGATTTCGCCCCTCTGCAGTATACCTACCGTAACTCTGTGAAATCGCCTCAAAATGCCGAAGGAGTATGATATTCGTAATCAGCATGTCAACTAGCCCCCCTCAAAGTTCCAGCGAAATCCATGATTTCAGCTTCTTATGTGTACCCAACGTAAACCCAAAAAATGGCGCTATCGCGCGAAATGACTACGATATTCGTCATCAGCGGCTTTGATAATCCCCATGTACCGACTTTGAGCAAGATCCATCACAAAAACACTCTGGGGCAGGATAGCCAAATAGCGCCATCAGTTTTCAGAATTATCCTTACTTTTCTCGGTTTTATTGCTTTTTTCGCAAAGTTTGAGCTACGGGGCTGGGGGTTGTTGAGGGAGGTAGGTGGGCATGCTAATTACTAACACAGCGGGAATAGGGAATTGCATGTAGAAGGGGGCACAATGAAAGGTTTTACAGGAATAGGGATAAGACCTTAATCATAGCATTGACAGGGCCGAACGGAGCCGGGTAAGCCAGCTAATATTATATAATGGATGAGACTATAATGGGCTAACATAAGCACAATTTTTCTCCGACGTAGAGAATATCTTACTTTTTCAATTTTTCTCAAAGCTAGAAGACAAACTCAGTGATTCAACAAGCGACAACAATCTAAATCTAGTGACAGGTGATGCATTCAATATTGCATATGTTAGAGCAAAGCAAGAGCAAGCAGAAACAATCGGTCAGTTAGCGTTCTTCGTTTGCGACAGCAAGGAAAAATCAAGTGTAAAAGTCGGCATATTTTCGCACGCACGAGGAGGGCTCAAATAATGGTTTTTTTGATTTGCTCGTAAATATTCTGCGAAAATAACTCGAATAGTCTCTAGCCGCAAAAGAACCTCTGAAGTATAGGCTACGTAATGATGGCAGCTGAATACCTCATTTGGAAGCATTAGTATGTCAAACTGGGCGGCTTTGAAGAAAACCTTGCAGAATTCGTAAAATTTTCTCTTCTTTCTCGTTCGCCTTCCTTATATGGTATACAGTGCTTGTGATAGACACATTAAACTTGCACAATTCAAGAAGATTTGATTTGTTGAAAGTCTTTGATTTAAAAAAATTATGGGATTTTAAATGAAAAATCGCAAGTCGACAGAACTTTGAAACAATGTAATACCCCTAACAAGGGAAGGATAGTTGGATGCCGCGGCCATTCCTAATGATTTGTATACCAAAAATGCGCCTTCGAATGCAGATTCTGAATCTGTGCTCGAAATCTGCGAAACGATCTTTTGAACAAAGTTATGAACTTTTTTCCTTGAAAATTTAGCCTACTTTTGGATAGTAAAAATCACCAGATTCGATCTAGCCTACCGTTTGATGCTACTGAAGAAAATTTTAGACGTAGTAATATTTATTTAGACTATCTGGATCATACTCAGCATTTGGAAAGGAGAGAAAATTTTTTTATTGATGACTTTGACCCTCCGTAGGAACGCAATTTTTTTAATAAAAAAAATCATAACTCCATTCAGATTATCGTTTCGCAGATATGAAAGACAGTCTACGAACCAGCATTCAAAAACGCATTTTTTGGTATACAAATCATTATGAATGGCTACGGCATCCAAGTATCCTTCCCCTGTAAGTCGTAATCCTGATAAAATTTGGAGCCAAAAATCAAAATTTTTCAGCTAAATTGGATCTTTCTAAGAACTTCCAATTTGGTTTTATATGGAGACACCTAGTAGTGCCCAAAAGTATGTGGACTTTTTCCGGGGTTCAAATTGAGAAACAAGGATGGTTTGAAAATGCCAGAATATCCTTTTTTCGAAATTTCAGGTAAAACTTGGTATTTCTCGTTTATGAAAATACACACAGCGGTAAAGTTCTGAGGTTATACTAAGTAAGGTTGTAGTATACAATGATGTATGTGAAAGGGGCTGAGAGAGCGGAGTTGCAATTCAAGGTATCTTTATTTTCGCCTTCTGTGCGCGGGCAAAATCCAGTAAAAACATATTTGAGACTATTCCAAGTTGGAGGTCCGGATTCTTTCTCACAAAAATCCCTTTTTCAGGTGAGAAATTTTTCAATCTTTGCCTGCAAACTATACATGGAATGCGACCATCTTTTGTAGTCATTCATTTTGTAGTAGTTTGAATTGTTCTATCGAATGATATCCTAGGTTTACTAGAAAAACAAAAGCTTGAGTTATCTTAAGGGGAGTTTACTTTTGGGACAACCTAACACATGCCAGAACTTTCTACCGCAGTCCTAATAATGAACAGCGACTCAAAGATTGGGAAAAGACGTTAAAGCAAAAGGAATATTAGCAGCTGATCAATGTGCACAATTTTTGGGAACTGTAGTCTGGCGACCTAGCGTTATGATACAAGGTAGAAGACAGTTTTCCCCACCTCGCGACCTCGCGCCATTTGAAGTAATTTCACAAATTTTGAGTTTTGCTTATGCGGTATCTGTTTTCAATTCTACTTTTTGGGTAATCATTTCTTTGGTTGTTCTAGGTTTTGATATATTGTGGCGTGATTGCAGCATCAGCTGCTATTCATTAACAAATTTACAAGTTGTTGCGGTATGTTTCACTTCGCACCTGACAGAGCATATGTTTTATAGAAACTACTGTTACTACGGGTAAAAATAAAGATGAAACCGATGGATGAAATAAATCGAGCAATGAAATTTTTACTTCCTCCGTGACAGAAGAAGCGCATACGCGTTTTCACGTTTAGTTTATTTATATTTAAATGAGTAAACCTAGGATAGAGATGTTAACTTAAGGTTAAAGTGTCAAATTTTTGATTTTTCGGGCTTTTTGACTTAATCATGGAAGTGTGATGTCTCTTGCGATAGGCGCTTTGGTACGCTCAACCCCCTACGGTAGTAAAAATCATTCGGAATAATTTTCGTTTCGACCCCCAAAGTTTCACCATGTATGAATGTGGTGAAGGGCTTATAAGAATTAGCGGTGTATAAAAGGATAGAAAAATATTTTTACCTTTGCGGCTAGTATGTATGCAGCATTTTCTCGTAAGAAGATTTTCAGAACTGGAAGTGATATGGAAAGTTAGCACATTGAAATTAGCACTTTTCTAGGTTCATCGCGTAAGGTTCAAACTTATGGAGTACTGAGAGCTGGAGAGGAAGTGTTTTGGAAGATTAGGAGTTGAGATGAGATGAGCAGTTGAGAGATTTTTGAGCTGTTTCAAAACTAGCTGGACTATTTTAGAACTGCACATACTCATCGAAGGTCATCGTCAAAAAGGGCAGAGCCGGGGTCAAGTGTGTATGGCACGCCACAACGGGGGATCGCTAAAGGTGTCAAAAAGGGATGTGGAGTTGAAATTGAGTAATACTGATAATAGTGATGATATGTTACTCGTAAGCGAAAAATGGAGAAAATCAGATTTTTTATTGGTCTCCACTTCCACAGTTTGGAGGCTTTTTGAAGCGAGATTTCTGAGAAAGGCAAAAGAGCAGAAATGCTTTGTATTGAGTGCTAAAAGAGGTATTAGGTTCACTTTCGCAACAAGGTTAATCATTTCCAGTAATGACAATTTCACCCACGGCCAAGTGTTTGTAAACTTCAGACACAGACTTGGTCCAAAAGAGTTTTTGGACATACTAATTGTGGATAAATCACTCGTTATGCTTGGTGGGGCCTTTAAGTTATGCCTATCTTAAGTGTGCAGAGTTCTAAAGGATCTTATTGAGACAATACTAGGGGGTGGAGTCATTTCTAGATTGAGTGCCACATTTTTTACTTGATCCTGAGCATTTTAATAAGTCTTTGCAAGTAATACCCCGCCAGCCCTTTTAGAAATGAGAAAGCAGGCTGGCTCTGCACACTGATGCTTAGTTTCAGTAGAGAAAAGCCTTTTGTGACTGGGTCACGTGTGATATAAAGGGATTGTACAGGATAACAGGAACGCGGTTGAGAAACGAAAGTCACGCAAACAAAGTGGAGGTTAGAAATTGTTGGAATTCGCTATTGCAGTAATACGCAGTAGCTCCGGTGAGACTTGGCACGAGAATTGAGGGAAAGTGGGATAGCGTTTTGGAGGCCATTTATCAAGACCAGCAATGTAAGGCGAGCAAATAATCTTGGCGATGCTACTTCTCGCTTAACGGTAAGGAATCCAAAACTGCATATAGTACACAAAAATCCGATTTGTTTTCTGATTCCTCCAGGTTTTCCCTTTTGATATATTTTCTAGTCTTATGAGAGTCAAGATATAGCTACCTTTTTAACAGTAAAAACACTTATTAACTTTGGATTCTTTAGGTCACTCCACGTGAAAAGGGAATAAGAACACTTCCGGGACGTTTGCAAGAGGGTGCTGAACACGTTGACACTAAAGGGCGGTATTTATCAGTCTCCAACTCGCTGTTCGGGCCAATATCAAGTACCCGGACAGGCGAGAGCGCCAATCCGTGATTCACCAAACTTCAGAATGTGGTCGTTCTGGCAAGTCTGTCTATGTCGGGCACGTCAGTAGGGCAGCAGAGCCCAATTCGACAGGTCGGGCTCAACAGCCGTGCCCGACATGGCCGAACTTGTTAGTTCGGACATATTTGCCAACAAATAGGAATCCGATTACCACCTTGGCTTCGTATACCGCGAGCGCCAATGCCCGCGCCTGTACGGGCTGTTACCTCTAGAGGAACCGCTTCCCATACAGGAGAGTGATAAATACCGCCCCTGGTATCTTCGCCTTCCCGGTGTACGTTGAGCGGAGCGTTTGCAGACATCCGAACGCGTTGGTGACTTACCCTCGATATCATCCCATATGTCTTCCCTCAACATGACGTGGATTACGTGGCTTGATGAGGCGCCGCCTCGCCTCGGGCTCGCGCCACGTTGCGAGCGCATCATTTGGCGCGACGTGGTGCTCAGCACAACGTGGCGCAGGCTTTTCCACGTTCTTCTTGTTGCCACATCACGCCGAAGATGCGCACGCAAACGTGGCGCAAGCCCGAGGCGAGGCGGCGCCTCATCCAGCCACGTAATTCACGTCATGTTGATGGAAGACATATGGGATGATATCGAGGGTACCAAAACTCTGCTGCAAAGCATGGTTCTTTGTACTCTCTAAACTGCCACGTATACCCTCGATATCATCCCATATGTCTTCCCTCAACATGACGTGGATTACGTGTCTTGATGAGGCGCCGCCTCGCCTCGGGCTTGCGCCACGTTGCGTGCGCATTTTCGGCGTGATGTGGCAACAAGAAGAACGTGGAAAAGCCTGCGCCACGTTGTGTTGAGCGCCACGTTGCGCCAAATGATGCGCTCGCAACGTGGCGCGAGCCCGAGGCGAGGCGGCGCCTCATCAAGCCACGTAATCCACGTCATGTTGAGGGAAGACATATGGGATGATATCGAGGGTATATGCTACTGTCATAGGTGGCAGTGTTGATAGCAAGAGATTACTAAGAACAACTTGCAGTATAGTATGAACAAGTTCGCCAATGTAGATGTCTGCTAATATCTCCGGTCAACGTACAAAGGGGAGTAAACGATAGCAAGGTTGACTGAAGTGTGCTGTGAATGTGTGAAAGTGAATAAAAAACTTCAACTAATGCAGTGTTTATGAGCTTTTGACATCTTTTAACTAAATGACTCCCTCTCTTGTATTAGTCAAATATTTTCAAGATGCGGATACCTTTGGTAAAAGCTATACCCTTGAATGGAATTGTTTCCCACGTATGATACCTACGTCTGTCGTTTGTTCAATTCACGAAAAATACAGTAAGTTGCAGAAACCGCTTGAAGTGAAATGTACATGCCAAGCGTAGTATGATATCCTAATCTCAAGTCCGATATTCGTATGAAAACGCTTTCGTGAAAAAATTAAGTTTTGGTCCGGAAATATGTTAGCACTATCTTTTAAAAATTTATAGCCTCTTACAATCCGAAGCGTTTGCTTTCCCGAAATCTTAAACTCTTCTGAAAAAGATAATCATGCGCTTTAAAAAGCCTTTGAGGTACTTCCCAGCTCGCAAACACAGCAGCGATAGAAGTTTATGAATAGAATTTGTAGGGTTGTCAGAAATGTGAACCAGGGCCCGGACGAAGGTGGCAAATAGTCCTCTGTGAAGCAATTACACCTTTGCCACTTTGATTTCACGATTTTCCCCTTGATCACCAACTGCGCAGGCTATTCGAATGAATTGCGTTTTTCTCAAAAGCCGGGACTCGTTTGCTGTTTCGGACTCTAGCAAAGAGGAGAGGGGAAGTTGAAAAGGAAGTCGCTCCAACAATCACCCAAGTGTGAAATTCTTGCATTACATACAAGGATTTTTGTACTCTACTCTGCAAGCGAAGCTGCCTAGCTCAATAGTGGATCGTCGTACTCCACATAGTGGCAAAATTTGAGTGCACCATGTTGAAAAAGAAGAAAGTTATGGAAGTAGTTCAGAGCTCAGTTTCCATCCTAATGCCTCTTCAGATAAAGGCTGTATACTAAGATACCAAGGAAAGGTCAACATTTCTGTTTTACCTATCACATGATATCTTTTCCCAGCATCGTATAAGCGGTTGCAAAACAGGGTTATGTTGTGTTGAATAAATTGGCTTCCGGTGAGGACTTACCGCGGTGACCTCAGTAGGATTATTTGTGAGAGGCAAGTCCTACAACGAAGCGAGAAATCAAGAGCGTATGACCAACACGGACACAATTCCCTTTTTTACACTTATAAATAAATTTCTGTATCAGTCATATGCAAGTACTTCTTTTAATCGCTTATATGTAATCAGCTTTGAAAAATTAGACAGAAAATCCTTTGACGGTTACTTAACGAAAAAAACATATGTTAATCCTTGAACCAAGTCCGCAACTCGTGACTAAAGTGTGCCTGTTGCTGACCAAGTGTGTCAAATAACAATTTTACGATGCTTTCGGAGCTTTCAGATGATTTTGCCAGTTGACGTAGAGAAAGTCTTTGTTTTATCAAACAACAATCCATAATTGACTCCGGTTGCATTGCCATTAACTGAATTTTGCAATGCTCGAAATCGAATGGTTTTATGAAGATGGTGCTCAAGATTATTTTTTTTGAAAAGTTAGATGTCAAAAGGTGGTATGCTCTCCAAATAAATTATCGCAGATGCAAATACTTTGCTCAAGACTTGATGAATTAACGCCCAAAATTCATTCATCTCCAGAATCGGCATTCGCTGATAACATGCTGTGAATTTGAGTCTACATGTAAATACAAGCCCACGCTATAACTATCGTGCATAATGCTTGTTTTCTCACACCAGGTAAAAAAATTGGCTTCTTGCTCTACAAAAACGGGTACAATCTTCCTTTTGTACTCATGGTTTTCATTTCTTCAAGGCCATTAGACCATGCGTTTTTGTATCATGATTCGGAACTCCATTCTGTTCATCTTCATCTAAATATAACACTCGGTTATGGCAAACGTTTCTTTTTTTTCAGCCGCATTTTTAGCCGATTATGATTTCTGAGGTGAATCGCTGTTTTGATGACAATTCTTTTACCCCAAAGAGCTAAGTGTTGCTTTTCAGTAATGCAAAAAGTAACTATTAGATCATCTGTCTAGTGTCTTTACAAATCATTTACAGCAAGCTCCTTAGCGATTGTTAATAGAATCAAAAATCAAAAAGATCAAAATCACAATTGCATCAAAAATTTGGTTCGACGATGTCTTAATCATTTTTACTTCTCTACTGTACAGGACAAAGTATGGTGTGCTCCAACCATTTGCTATCACTTTGAGAGGCAGTAATCACATTGATTGATTGTGCCCTAATAATCAGTTTCATGACCTCAAATTCCAAATGAAACAGTAAGCGCTGATTACTGCAAACTCACTCAATTGCATAAATGCAAGGTTCTTAGAAATTATGGAAGGCGCTGTGCATTCTTTGCGAAACTCCGCGATATCAGTGCAGTACTCTGTACTTTCTTTGAGTTTCAAAGGACGAAAAAACTTGTTTTTTCAATGCTCATCTTTCCTTTTCATAATACTTGCAAATTACGAGAATCGTCATGGTTCGAATAACAAATTTTATGATGTTTATGATGTACTTGAAGTTATCATACTTAGCCGAAAATGCTACTGTAGTCGTAGAGCGCCATGACAGCTCACGGCATTGCGCAATGATACGTTAACATGCGTCAAAATCTTGCCTTCAGTTTAAGATTCATTGAAAGTTACAGCAGTGCATTTCAAAACGTAAGGCAGCATGCATTTTGCGTATTCCAGGTACGCTTATCCACGATAAAAAGTTGCAAGTTAGCGATAGCAAATAATACTGTTTACGGAGGTATGGAACCGGACAATGTGAACTGTGTGGAGACCGCTGAATTTGCGTATGCTCCAGATGTCTTTGAAGGAGCATTACCACACTTGTTTAAAAATGTTGGAATGAGAAGTGTTTGCAAGCTATGTTGATGAGATACCACAACGGATATAACAAGTATTTATAATCAAAAGACTACCACCCAAAGGCCGCTTACAGCTGGTCAAGGCAGATTCTTTTGAAAGTAGAAGAATAGTCACTCACGAGCTTATAACTGATAAAAGTAGCATACAGTCCTATGCCCATAAATAGAATGTACTACCCTTTACGTAGTCTATGAACCATACCTGAGGGTAAAGTACCCTATGGGCCCGGATGATATTATGAAAAAAAAAGCGAGCCCTGCGAGCCGTTTTTAGGATGTTTTGAAAACACTGCCTTACAAACGCCTACAAACCGATGTTCAAGAAGGACAGCCCTGCCCTGTGTGCCGCTTATAGATTGGTATTCTGCCCTGTTCCCCCCCCCCCCAACAAAGCGTTGTTCAAAGAAAATCCTTTACTGGCCACTTACACTTAGAACTGAAAGAGGCAATGCTTTGTGGCACTTACAGACTGGTAATTATTCCAAAAATATTGATATTCAAGCTTCTACAATCCGATATCAAAAGAAAAGCTGATCTACGAGGCCACTTACATAAATACATACATATCATTCTTTATCAGGACATAACTGTCCTATGTGCCGCTTATAGACCAAATTTGCAGTTGTAGCTACCCTGCGAACTCCTATAAATCGATATCAAAAAAAGTGTCCTACGCCCACAGCCCGATACTTGAAATTACTGCGCTAGACGCACTGCCCTACGAACCCCCATAGCGATACTTCGAGAAAAAATGACCCTAGGAGCAGCCTACAAACCGTTTTCATGAAGAAGGACAAACATGGGCAGCTCATAGACCGACCCAACAACCAAATACTTGAAGAAGAAACTGCTATCAAAGCGCCCCCATCCACTGTGGGTTACGTCTGCCTTATAAACAGTCAATTGACCAAAGCTTCAAAAAAATTAGTGCCTTTCGAGCCGTTAGAGATCCAGTAAGTTCTACCCTACCCGCCGCTTACAACCAGTAATTTAACAAAGTATCTTCGCGCCTTTGCCACAAACCTTTCAAGAACGCCTCAAAGTTGTTATCAAGGTAATAATGGTGTTTTAGGCTTGGAAAAAATTTGAAAGGGTACAGAAGAAATCAATCGCGGGAGTGGTTTTTATTGAGTCATCGCTCCCCCTCCAAAGAGTCTGTGGGTCCGCCATCACTGCAAACATACACTGCTCCATAGTTGTGAAAATAGCAAACCTTCTTCCACCTCCTTTCACAAAAAACGATTATATTGGTTTCAATATAAAATACAAATCCCGTTTCTTTCGTGATTTCTGTAACTTTGGTGAATTCTGTGACTCCTTCCTTGACCACTAAATGCCAGTCAAAATTTGAAATCAATCACAGCTCGTATGGGGAGAGGGAAAGAAGACGAGCTGGAGCAACTCTAAAATCACCCATTGTAATAAAAAACCACCCATTCAGACAGCACGTTTTGAAGTCGCTGAATCATTAGCGCTGGCAAAACGGTCGAAATGGCCCATGTTCTAAAATCAATCAAAACTATAACTAATGCGTCAAGTTTTGAAGGCAATTTGTCAATAACTAAGCTGCGAAAAGTCAGAATTCGCTACAACTTTGCACTATAGAGTAATCCTATGCGGTAAGCACGAATATCATATTCATTTGTCGCTAAAATAAAATTCATTTTTTGATCTCACGAACGAGGCCTTTTCATGCGAAACGGATCACATTTCTGTGATCAGCATGTCAAATAAGCTCTATAGGCAAAGTTTCAGCAAAATCTGATGCATTCTAAAATTTTTCCCATGATACCGTAAACCTACCGTAATCCTCACATAAGATGGTAAAGTTCGGCAAAAATGTGTGCATCAGAAGCTTACATCATATTCCTTACATTGCCAAAAATGAATGCGCTACGTTCAAATAGACAAAAGTTATATAAAAGGATGCATTACTTATGTGCCAACCTAATATGTTATTTTAAGTCATGATATATTAGGTTGGCTCGAAAGTTCTTGCGTAATTCAAGCAAATTTAATAACTTTGCAATGCCTAAACCTAAATTCATAAACTTGTTTTCTAGAAACTTGAGAAGGCTTGCGCTCCATGAAAGAAGTTTAAGCGCAAGATTCCATGAGCTAGGCACCAGGAACGAAGCTCTCAAATATAGAGCTTCAAATTGCGATTTTAAATTTGGTGTCAGAAAATCGCAGAGGACCGCTAGCTAGCCGAAAATAATCTGTAGAAGTTACTTTACACAGCAGAAGTCTATACGTTATCTTAGCAGGCTTTGATCTCACCTGGAATTGCTAAAACAGAAAATTTATGGAATTTGTCATTTTACAAAATAAATCCCCTTATCGTATAGTTTTTTCACAGAAACACAGCCTGCAACAGAAATTAGACATAATGCCTATTTGGAAACTTGCGACACGTTTTTTGGACTGTGAAAAAGTGCTTTCGCCGAAAAATTGTTGTAATAAAGGGATTTTTTTCCGCAAAGTGACATATTTCACGAATTTTTGTTTTTGCTTTACCGTACAAGATCAAAGCCTTCCAAAGTAACATAACGGTAGCACTTCTGCTGTGTAAGTAATTTTTACAGAAATTTTTCCGCTAGCTAGCGGCACTCTACGACTTTCTGGTACCAAACTCAAAATCGCAAATTTTGAAGCCCCATATTTGAGAGCTTCATACTCAATATCTAGCTCATGGAAATTTATGCTTAAACGTTCATCATGGAGCGCAAGCATTCTAGTATTTTCAGAGTACAAGATTGTGAATTTAGGTTTAGGGGTTGAAAAGTTATTGAGTTTTGGAATTACGCAAGAACTTTCGAGCCAACTTAATATAAGATTGTCAGAGGGCACGGATCACTGACCTACCGATCTTCAGGGGCGGGAAGAAAGCCCGCGTTGACCCCTTCGGCAGGGTATAAATTCCGTGAGTCAAGGGGAGGTCTCAGACTGCGCTGAGGAAGCGCTAGCGGGAGCTTAATCCGTCGAAGAGAGGCAGACTTCCCCCCTAGATAAAGAGTATCCAGTAAGCCTGCCGAAGAGGTCAAAGAGGGTAAAGCCCGCTGTTAAGCGGGACCTCTTTGACCTCTTCGGCCCTTTCGTTATTAAGCTTTTCAAGGTACACGTTCTTGTTTTCTTGTTGTTCATTGCCTTTTTCTGAATTATTAGTCGTTCGATCCGTGTAGTCTATCGATCCGGTTGAAACCGTTATACCACTAGACCACCCCCGGTTACAAGATAAGTTTTATTACATTTGATCGGAGAAATCCTAGTAACTCTTTTGTTGGATTTTTTCCCCATTTTCGAATTACGTGCGGATGTGGCTTTTCGACGTACACATGACCCACATGAAAAAACGCATCTTCATTCTTGAAAAGTTTTCGATTTAGTTTTGACAGAGTTCCAACTTGTGTTATAAAGTCCCTGAACATATTGCTTGCATTTCCATATTGCTTCCGTGTCATTATTAATGCCCCTGTTTTTCATTTGAAATCCGAAAACATAACAAAATTGGGAAACTTTCAAAAGGAAAAAGTGAAAGGGAGGTTAAGGCGCCGTCACAAAATTACTCCCTGTTGCTTCCGAACCATAATCGTCTGAACGTTTCTTAATAACTGCAAAACTCATCAATTGTTCCTGCTTGCAGCTAATTTTCAAGAATTTCAATCCAGAGCTTCGAAAAAGATGTGGAGCCGTGATAAGATTCTTTGAAATTGCGATTTTTGTTGAACTCGTGAAACACGCGGCTGCGGTAAAAACAGTTTTTGATTTTCTACGAGTTTGTTGTTGATGAATATCATTTCTGCAACATACAGTAAGGTGCACCAACAATGCCTCCGTTTGCATCGAATATAACCGTTGTAGGGGAAGCTATAAGAGCCATGTACGAGAGCTTCTTGTAAGAAATGAAATGTACTTTGCATCAGCGCGTCATCTCTGCTTCACAGAGGTTCGCACTGGCCCTTTTAACTGTATACCTTACTCGTGCTCGTATAACAATGATTTTGAACACATCGTGCAATGTTGACCATCACAAATGAACTGTGAATATCTATTCATTCCAAAAATTTTTCACATCAAATAGGTAACTTTGGGAGGAAGAAATATTTGTGCAGAAGATCAAATGCAAATTTAAATTAGTTATAGGACCAGGGTCGAGCAGAAGGTATGGCGCACAGGTGCAAGATACAACCCCCCCCCCCTTCCACCTCTTCTCTTCTCATGACATAAAGGCTCTGCTATGCATAATTAGGCTCATATTTATAATTATCATGTCAAATAACCTCCATGGGCTAAGTTTTTGCAAATTTTGAAGATTCTCAATACTGAATCACCCAGTGAAGTGAACATTTTCGAAGATGATTAACTATAATTTAAAAGCGAATTAGATTTTGTACTCAATACAAAGTACTACCTATTTTCCCCTACCATGAATCCTGCTTCAAATAACTATCAAACTTTCGAATCAGAAGCAGGCCAAAATTTCGTTTGTCCCATTTTTGGCTTCCAATGGCTGCGCTTTCACCAACTTTTACTGTGAGCGAAGAAAATGAATCAAGCCCAAGTTACTTCTATGAAAATTACAAGACTCAGGCTATCAAAATATATGTATTCTGTGAAATTTGGAGGGAAGTTAATGGGGTGTGGCAAAACCTCTAAAAAGCTATGGTGGCCACAGCTTTTTAGGGGTTGTGCCACACCGCATTAACTTACCTTCAAAACATTCAAATCTCCTCTTTTTATATAGTTGCTACTGCTAGATCTTCTTCTCCACATACGGTTATTCCGTTCAAAATTGTTTCTCTTAGGCAAAGATATAGTCGCCTTTTCTTAGCTAAGCAAATGGAAAACACTACGAAAATATGATTACGGTGCTATGCTGTCTGCGCTACTACCTGAATCGCGATGGAAGGCGGCAGGAACAAGTATATCCGATAGCCTGAACCTCGTAACTTTCACAAATGTGATTGGAGCCTCATTGGTTTTCTTTAGTCTGAGAAATTGAAAGCGAAAAATGAGACAGATGAGATTTTGGCTTGCTTCTTCTAGAGTTTGGAGGTTATTTGAACGGGATTCCTAATACGAGCAAAGAAGTGAGAGTACCTTGTAATGACTGCAAAAAGAAGTAGTCTACTCATATTTGAAACGAAGTTAGCATGTCGAAAATGGCCACCTCACTTGGGTGTCCGAATATTTGGAAACCTCAAAATTCGCTGAAACTTGACCCTCAGGAATTACTCGAGATGCTAATTATGAAAGTGGTGTTCTCATGCTTTTAGGATTCTTTTAAGATGCTTATTTTGCGTGTACGACGGTAGGCCAAAACATCAGTGCTGGTATTTTGTACAATGGGCCTATCAGACACTGTTGAATGTCGCGAACGTCACTATCACTCAGACAGTCGAAGGGATACAACCGGCGGGCAAATGTTGCGAGTTTGCTACTTCGCGTCACCGTGACGTCGCGGAGACGTCACGGTGAACGAATGGGACCCCTCTGCGGGACGCGCAAATCTCTGCTCCGGAGGTGCGGCAGATTTGGAAGAGCCCCGGAGCACCAAAATGGGTGAAATGGCAGGGCTCCGGAGCGCTCCAAAGCGCGAAGTGGCTCGCGCCATTTGCCCGCCGGAGGAGTCCCTTCGATTTTCTGAGCATCTCGAGAACGACGTCCCCCCCCTCTTCCTGACCCCTCTACGATTCCCCCAAGTGTGGCGTGCCACACCTCACGCTTAACCCTGTATAGGACTCATAACAGCTTCATAGGCGCCATAAAAGACAACGATTACCTTCTCAATTTCTTAAGAAGGAAGAAGAAATCCATGCCATCTGACCCCACCTGGAGATATTTTCGCGAAAGATATACTTTTCAGTTACTTTTGGGCTGAAATCAATGGCTTAGCATATATACGTCAAAAAATCAGTGGCTCCGCAAAGGATACAAACACGGATCTAGCTCGCGAGCTTAAAGTAGTATGGATCCGTATGGCGCTCAGATTTCGCGAGATCCCGGCACCAGATAGCAGGATGATAATAAAAGTAAATTCATGTCATAAACCTAATAAATGTCAAATAAAACACCGCTACCGTTTGATCATTGATGAATTTTGTTCAAAATCGACGTGATGATGATACAAAGCTTAGAAAGTGTGTTACCGAAAATTCATTCAAAGCATGAGAACATAAGCCGAAATTGAAGTTTCAAAGTGATTTTAATAATAACTTCAACAGGGAAACTAACACTACATCCTGGATACTCAGATCCGACGTAAAATGCAAATGCAAACATCTTATGCCTTTGAGAAGACTCAGTAAAGCTTCACATCTCAGATTTGAAGTGCGAACCAAACCTGGACAACCTTTACCCCGCTGTCAGTTTTCGAGTTATAAGATCAGAGAAGTGGGACTATATCTAATATATAAATGGGGGAAAACCAAAAAACGGGTGATGATCTTGGTTTTAAAGGAAACTCCGCTCACAGAGGTTTTCGAACACGCTGTTTATGAAAATCGTGTTTAGAGCATTCGATGGGTTGGAGCATACCATACTTTGTCTTGTACGTAGAGAAGTGAAAATGATTAAGACATCATCGAAGCAAGTTTTCGATGCAATCTATTAGCCATCGTTAAGAAGCTTGCTGTAAACGATTCTTAATGACATCAAACAGATGATCTGCTAATTATTTTTTTGCATCACTGAAAAACACCGCTCTCCTCTGGATAAAAGAATTGTCATCAAATCAACGATTTACGTCAGAAAACATAATCGGCTATAAATTTATATGAAAAAAAGAAACGTTGGCCGTTACCGAATATCATATTTAGATGAAGATGAGCAGAATGGAGTTCCGAATCATGAAGCATACAGAAACGCATCTGATAACATGGCCTTAAAGAAATGAAAACTATGAGTACAAAAGGAGGCTAGTACCCGCTTTTGTAAAGCAAAAAACTAGATTTTTACCGTCTCTGGTGTAAGTTCAAAACAAGCATCATGCACGATGATTATAGCGTGGGTTTGTATTTACAAGTTGACGTAAATTCACAGCATGCTATCACAAAAGCCGCGAATTCTGGAGAGGAACTTATTTTCATTCATCAATGAGCGAAGTAATAGGTTGGCACATAAGTTTTGCAGCCTTGTCCATAACTTCTTTCTCTATAAATGAGGCGCATTCAAATTTTGATATTATGTAGACTCGAAAGTGCGCTATAAATCTGCGCAAACCGTTTGATTTTTTCTGGCAAAATGGAAAAGATCTGCGTATTCTCCTAAAAGCAGTCAAAATTGAGGTTTTATGGTTTTTTTTTTAGCATAAATGAAGACCTACGAAAGTAAGTTATCCAAATTCAACCGGAACTGGGGGCAAAATATTCTCAGAGGTTGGCTACTGAACACAGCGAAGAAAGAATTGTAATTCATTGTTAAATGGAAATCTGGCGATTTCATAAACTCAAACAAGTCAAATGCGTCAAAGTAGCTTGGATAATTCATCAATGCCAGAAAGTCAGAATAGTCGAAGATTGGCGAAACTTTGCACGATGGGATAACTTGACATGCTGATTATGAATATCATATTCAATTGTTGTCAGAGTCAAAAATTAGCCTAGTGATTTTTTGTAATTCAGCTTTTTTATAGCAAAATAATTTTTCAAGCAAAATGAATATCATTTTCGTAATCAGGATATCGAATAACCCCCTTAGACCAAGTTTCACCTCAATCTGTCTCAATTCCTTTTTCTTTCCCATTCAAAAATTGCCTTATCGTAACTCTTGAACGTGATGTTGGAATACGGCAGGAATGGTTGCTTTCGCTGTTAACACGATACTCATTATAATACCAGAAAATGGAAGCGCCACATCGCAAAACACATGAGTTATAAGAAAAAGTTGCAAAACTTATGTGCCAACCTAATAAGTACTATATTTGCATCTGCAACACTTTATTTCAAAAACATACGGTTTTTGACGTCTAACATTTCGGTAAAATATATAATCTTGAGGACAATTTTCATTTAAAAAACCGATACATTTTGAGCATTGCAGAATTCAGTCAATGGCAATGCAACTGGTGTAATTTGATGATTGTTGTATGGTAAAACAAAGGCTTCCTCTACGTCATTGGCAAAATCATCTGACAATGAGAGCTCCAAAAGCATCGTAAATTGTCATTCGACACACTTGGTCACAAGCAACGGGCACACTTTAGTCACGAGTTGCGAACTTGGTTCAAGGATCAACATATGTTTTTCGTTACACAACCGTCAAGGGATTTTCTATCTAATTTTTCAAAGCTGATTACATATATCAGAAAAAATACTTGCATATGACTGATACAGGACTTTATTTATAAGTGTAAAAAAGGAAATAGTATTCGTGTCGGTCATACGCTCTCGATTTCTCGCTTCAAATGTTGTAGGGCTTGCCTTTCACAAATATCTCTATTGAGGCCACGGGGGTAAGCCCT